AAAAATCGCATACTCGTCTTTTTTGATATAAAAAAATATCAACACTCGTCGATAAAGTAAAAAAAAAACAAAACAAAAATAAAAAACCCCAAAACAAACTCGGTAGAGCCTCGTTTTTTTTACATTATCGATATCAAAAAAGACTCGTAGGTGATTCTCTATATAACTTACCTTTGACAAGTCTGTCGACATTCCTTTTCGGTCCAAAATCTGTTCTCGTTTCCACCACAACCACCGTAGATAAACCCAATACAACTGTTAGTAGTTGTGTTAAAATAATAGCTAGGCATGTAAGCATTACAGTTACCTGGGTCGTTATCTAACTGACAAAATGCTGGAACCGGAGCTAAAACAATATACAAATTAAACGCCATTATCTAAAATTTTCAGACAGAAGGGAACAGTGTGGAATTTGGGAACTTATCGCCAACCACTTACATGAAATGAAATTGTGATTAACGTTCCAGTTCGCTGCACCGGCCTTGCTGTAAGCTATAATTTGTTTTTCAAGAGATGCATTTCTTCAAATTACACAACTTCGTATAGATCGGTGTAGGATAATAGCTGCTTAAATGAAATAAAATAGGGTTTAACGTCCCACTGTTCTGCCCCATTGGGCTAATGAAGACGGGCATACGTCATACTGTGTGCTATGAGGGAAATTTTTGCCCGGACAGCGGCACTACGGCCTACTCTTGTATTGAATTCCAACTGTCAAGGGATCTTTTACGTGCACGCCAATGAGTACACGGGACCTCGGTTTTTCGTCACATACGAACGACTAGACAGCTTTCCTTGTCTGGCCCTCCGTCCTGCATCACTGACAAGGGGGAACCACGCCAGGAAAATCTGAATGAACTTTCTTGGCCAATGCAGGGATCGAACACCCGACCTCATGTTATTTCAGTTACTTCTTCTCAGATTGTTTGGATTTTACACTTAGCGAAAATGTTGAAAGTTTCAAGTAATAGCAATTAAACAACAATGTTATATCAGAAATGAAATGAAATTGGGTTTAACGTCCTACTGTTCTGCTCCGAACTGGGCTAATGAAGACAGGCATACGCCATGCAGTGCGTTAGGATTGGAAATTTAGCCCGGGCAGCGCCGCTACAGCCTATTCTTATTTCGAATTCCATCTGTCAAGGGCTTTTATACGTGCACGCCAATATGTACACGCGGCCTTGGTTTTTCTACACGTAGTCCCTTGCCAAGTCCTCCGCGTCCTACATCACTGACTATATATAATAGGAGAAACCACGTCAAAAAATGCAGGGATCGAACTCTAGACCCCCAGAGACTTTAATCCTAACAATACAAGCCTATACAACCTACTCATGTCTTCTTTGGCCTACTCTTATATCGAATCGAATACCAACTGCCAAGGGATCTTCCACGTGCACGCCATTGTGTACACAGGCCCTCCATCCTGCACCACTGACAAGGAGAATCCACCTCGGAAAAAATTCCGATGAATTTTCTCGGCCAAAGCAGGGTTCGAACACGCGACTTCCAGACTAGCGAGTAAGCTTCTCACCCACTTAGCCACTCCTCTAAATGTTGTATGGCGACCATCTTGGTTCTTCAAGATATCAGCTATACAAAGACATTTATCTCAGCCTCATCGCCACTTAGTCTTTAAATACATTTTCAGAGTCAAGGAATACAATACCATCTAGAAATACTGTAATCAAATACATACCGGGGGGATTTCTAGCTTCACATGTTGTCAATAAGATGGTTACAGCAATGGCCAAAGCGACTACAGCTACGGGAAAACGCATGGTTCTGTTGTATTATTCCGTCCGTCTGACCAACAAAATATTTCTGCTGGATACGACACTAGTTTGTAATTATACACATATCCCCAAATGTTAAATGGCGAATCTGTTAATTTCGGAAACATTAAATCTGGTTAATGCCCTAAAGATAAATTTGAAGTGATAAATAATCACCGATAAAATTGTTTCTGTAATAATAAATAAATAAATGAGTCGGTTGTACATTTCACGAGTTCTAATTTCATTTTAAAAAATGTAATTCGTGAATTAATAAATGTCATATTACGAGAGGCCAGGTGTAGATATAGAATATGCATGTGTGATGGTTGGATGGAGTTGGATCGGGATGGGTGTGGGGTGGGGTGTTGCTGTGCATAAGGAGGTGTATACACCGCATCAATGTAAATTCTGTATAAACTTTAAATATCTTCAGTTATTTAACAAATATATTCATTAAAAGCCATATCGCTTTCACAAGGCACAGAATCGTCAATATTTAAGAGAAACAAATGAAACTGCAGACGCCTTTTGACATGTTGTCAGGGCCAATCTTTCATATAAAATGTTTTTAATAGATGTCGCATGCTCTCTTGTACCACGTTCAGGGCTATTATTACCCTAAAAAGATTCGGCCCTGAACCCAAATTTATGAAGGTTTTATAACCCTGCACTATTTTATGATAAAATGACAATTTTGGTTTCTAAATTAATCTTTTTTGGAAAATTAGTTCATGTGAAAATATACCCAGTGGCGTTAACTGGTCCCTTATACCATTTTCCGGAGTTCCACAAGATATTGGACTTAGATAAACAAAATTACATTTTTGATACAATGTTTTTAGTGTGTGGTGTTTTTCACCACAAGATATTGGACATAGTAAAACTATCAATTGTTTCAAAAATTTCTTCTCAGACGTCCCTATATCCCTGTGTGGTACCACATTCCACAAGATTTTTGACTTGGAATAATTTTGATAGGGTGTTTTGGGTCTGTGGTGTTTTTCACCACAAGAGTTCCACGAGATATGTTGTGGAATGTGGTACCACACAGCCATAAAGGGAGGTCTGAAAAGAAATTTTTGAAAAAAATAATTTTTTTTATCTAAGTCGAAAATCTTGTGGAATGTGGTACCACACAGGCATATAGGGAGGTCTGAGAAGAAATTTTTTGAAAAAAAAAGAAGATATTTTTCTAAGTTCAATATTTTGTGGAACTCTTGTGGTGAAAAACACCACAGTATAATATTTTGTAGAATATATTTTCCCAACAACTTACAAGATGATAGGATAAACTATTATTGTTCCAGCGAAATAAAAATAAAATGTTTCATAAATATTTAATTGTCCACTTTTCCAAACGCCCCCAAACGTTGCCATGTCTACCAGTCGGTGCATACAAGTAAAACCGTTAAACCTCATTTCAATTCATTTAATTTTACAAAATAAAACCATGTTAGTCTCTAGAACAGCTTTGTCGCAATGTTCACAACTATGGTCGTTTGGTTAGGGTTATCTACTAAACTCCAGAGGTGTGCTGTTACAAAATCTTGCATCACTTGCTGCGACCGTCCCATCGTGCTACTGATGGTATTTCCCTTCACATTTCTACCAAACATTCTTTGGCAGCAACTGTGCCTGTCCACCTATTCCCCGTCGCCATGTTTTACGAGCCCGAAGTAACGGGACACGACTGTAGAACATGGGCAAACGGAAACCGACAGGTTCTGTTACCACTTCCTGCTACTGATTTTGCATGTTTCAAGTGATTTATTTTATGTACAGGATTCGTTATACGTCACCTGATATATCACGTGACTGTGTCAAAATTGCGACGGATGGAAGTAGAAATGTGGTCAGATCTAAATATTAAGGCCATCTGCAGACTTCATCTAGATCACGAGTTGTAAACAGGGCTAGGGTACGTTATTGTTGCCGAGGATTGTGGGTTAGGGATAGACTTAGGGTTACAATTTACATCTCTTGGCCATGACGAAATATGCAGGTGGCCTTAATATTTAGATCTAACCGTAGAAATGTAAAGGCAACGACCATTCTCATTTGCTGTTCCCTCCAAGGTCTATTCCAATCGACTAATGTACGAATGGGAAAGACCTCGTGTCACATGCCATGTGTGCTCTCGAAAAACTGGGCGGAACCATCTGCTGCGGCTGCTTGTTTTTTTTTTTAAATCTATGATCGCATTCACTCATTTGCAAGCCCGGACAACGTTGGATAAAACCCATCGGGTGAAGAGTTATATGAAGTAAAATTATTAAGACGAATATGTCATTTAGAGACGAACTTGCCAAGGCAGCCATTCTAGGCATATTGTTTGAGACCAACAAATGATGTTTCCTCTGTGTGTAGGACAAAAACAATTTCCTTCCATGGAACCATGTATGATATCCGTATCCAGAGATCTGAACCCCTGATATTCTAGATGAATGTATAGTAACGCCCAGTTGACTACCCACCACGTTACAAGAATATATAGACCCCACCCACCACGTTACAAAAATATGTATATACCACCCACCACGTTCCAGCAAAGAATATGGTTACAGCACGAAACTGGAAAAATCCCCGAAGGTTATAAGATCCAGGAAAGATATGATACTGAATAACGTGCGCGTACTGAGGTCCTCGCCAGACTGCTATTACGTCCCTTGCCAGGCCCGTCCTGCACCACTGACAAGGTAGAACCACGGCGGACAAATCCGATGAACTTTCTCGGCTAACACCGTAAACGAACACGGGACCGTAGGGTAGGGTTAGCGAGCCAACGTTCTACACACTGAGCCATCATGGCCCCAGACAGCTATGGAAACACAGAAGTGCGTAAACAGAGGAATTTCTAATCAGCAAAAGGCACATTCAGATAAAACAATAAGGACGGGGCCCATTTCAGTACCGCTTTTGTAATTTGGGGGCGGGACGAATGGTTCAACGCGTGTGCTTTAAATCACAAGATATGTCATTGAGCCAAGTAGCCTGGTGTCGATTCCATGCCTGTACGTGACAAAGGTAGGGTCGAATTTCCCAAGGTCCTCCAGTTTCCTCCCACTACTAAAAACCCTAAGCGCTAGCGGACTTTTGAAATAAAGTTGAACCATATTATGCTAGTCCCGAAATGACCTACTTTGTGTTGAGTGGACGTCAAGGCCCATTTCAAGACCACTTCTTGAGAGATAAAAATAAAACACAGTAAAGATAGTCATGTAGATTTAAAACCTGTTTAACACTTTTATTCTGTTAGTGGGTTCACTGGATGCCGTCGTTTTTATCTGAAACAAACAAAACAATAAAAACATATTGTGAATAGAAAGTGTATGGTTATCAATCTGATGAAAACACAGATCCTATTTCGTTTCGTTTTTTATAGTTCAAAATTTCGTTTTACTTGTTTTTCTTTTTACACTGGGATCTGGAAGAGTTGTTATATAACCCGCGTTCTGGATGATGTGTGGGATTAGCCAATGAAACGTTTTGTTACGGGTGATTGGTTAATTAAATGTCATAGTGTCAAAAGCCCACCCGTATGATCTCGGACACGACCTTCGACTACAACCGGTCAGATCTTTATGTAGTCCAGGTCATCGAAAGTATAAAATAACGAAACGAAATATAGATCTGTATTTTAATCAGATTGTTATGAGTGGTGTGAATCCTAAAATATTTTTTTTTCGGATCAACCGTAGCAAAAGATCTGTGTATGGAATGTGTTGAAAGATACATTATGTATGATTTAGATAAAGAGGTGTGCGGTCCTGCTATAATAGCTAAAAACTATATTTCATAATAATACACCAGAAACATAACCAATTATAACTGACCTTTGACAAGCCTGTCGGCATTCATCTTCGGTCTCAAATCTGTTCTCATTTCCACCACAACCACCGTAGACAAACCAAATACAACTGTTAGTTGTTGGGTTATAATAATAGCTAGGCATGAAAGCCCTGCAGTAACCAGTCACTTTTGGCAACTGACAAAATTTTGGAACTGGAGCTAAAACAATATACGCATTAAAGGATAATATTGGTGTCAGTCATTATGTGATAGAACTGGTGTAACACGTTCCAGATATAATTTTAACACAGAGATCATTGCTACGATAGATGCGTTATAAAGATTTCAAAAAGGGAAGTGACGAACGCAAAAGGAAACAAGACTTATCCTTCTATATAACTGACTGAAGTGACGAGGGATAACAGATACACGGGCGAATTATTATATGTGACTGTGGGATGATATCTGACAATTAAAAAATAAATAAAATAAATAATTGACTCTCACTAGATAAGAAAAAATGAGAAAAATAGAAAAAGTCCGTGCATTACCATGTTTCTATTAAGTATAGAATGAATAAAAACAAGGGAATGTACGGACTATTTCTATTTTTCACTTATCTAGTGACATTCAATTACTTTTTTGAATTATCAGACATTCTCTCACAGCCTCACATAACAACTTTCGAAGGAATTATTAGTGAGTAGAAATTCGCCCGTATATCTGTTTTCCCTCGTAACTTCAGTCAGTTATATAGGAGGATAAGTTCTGTTTTTCTTTTGCTTTCGCCGCTTCCCTTTCTTGAAATCTTCATAACACATTTATCGTAGCACTTATCTCTTTGTTAAAATTATATTTCGAACGTGTTTAACCAGTTTTATCACATATGTGACGCAAGATTTTGACTGACACCAATATTGTCCTTTAAGTGCCACAGAAACATTTCAGATTCTTACATAAAAGTTTCAGCTCAAACATTGGAATGATCGCTAGATAAGTTTAATGTTGTTGTGTTGTTCACGTGGCTAAGTGGGTAAGACGCTGGCTCGCTAGCTTGGAGGTAGGGTGTTCGATCCCTGCATTGGCCGAGAAAGTTCATTCAGATTTTCCGGCGTGGTTCCCCCTTGTTAGTGATGCAGGGCAGAGGGCCAGGCAAGGACAGCTGTATAGTCCTTCGGATGAGACGAAAAACCGAGGTTCCGTGTATACATTGGAATGCACGTAAAAGATCCCTTGGCAGTTGGAATTAGATATAAGAGTAGGCGATAGTGCCGCTGCCCGGGCAAAATTTATCTCATAACACACTGTATGGCGTATGCCCGAATTCATTAGCCCAGCATAGGAGAACAGTAGGACGTTAAACCCCATTTCACTGCATTTCATTTCATTTCTTATCAAATTTCTGACTGGCGTGATAATCGTGACGATGGCTTACTACTATAAGTTTGGTAAGTACGTAGACATGACTATCCAGTGTAATTTGGGAACTTGTCGCCAGCCACATAAATGAAACGAAATTGTGATTAACGTTCCAGTTCTCTGCACCTATCAGGCTAACGAAGAAGGGCACATGTTCCTCTAAAATGTAGTATGACAGCCATCTTGGATCTTCAAGATTTGAGCCATACAAATACACGTATGTGTATTTCAGCCTATTCGCCACTTAGTCTAAAAATACATTTTCAGAGTCAAGGAATACAATTATACCGTCTAGTAATACCGTAATTAAATACATACCGGCAGGACTTCTAGCTTCAGGACTTCTAGCTTCACATGTTGTCAATAAGATGGTTACAGCAATGACCAAAGCGACTAAAGCTACGGTAAAACGCATGGTTGTATTTTATTATTCCGTCCGTCTGACCAACAAAATATTTCTACTGGATACGACACTAGTTTGTATTTATACACATATCCCCAAATGTTAAAAATGGCGAATCTGTTAATTTCGGAAACAATAAATCTGGTTAATGTCCGAAAGATAAATTTGAAGTGATAAATAATCACCGATAAAATTGTTCCTGTAATAATAAATAAATAAATGTGTCGGTTGTACATTTAACGAGTTCTAATTTCATTAAAAAAAATGTAATTCCTGAATTAATAAATGTCATATTAATAAGTTATCTATTATTAAAGAAATAAAACTGGCATTTTTATAACTTTTTATAACATAGGACAATTTGATTTAAACAATGATAAAGTAACAACAATTTGATCAGTGATTATTTCTCGCTTCAAATTTATACTTCGGAAATTAAGCAGATTTATTGGTTCCGAAATCCACGATTTTAAATACAAACAATTAGTGCCATATTGAATAACGGATAGAATAACACAACACAGCCATGCGTTTTACCGTAGCTATTCCTTTTTTAGTCATTGCTGCAACCATCTTGTTGCCAACATGTGAAGCTCAAAATCTCTCTGGTATGTATTTGGTTACTTGCAAGCGAATTATTGAAATAAAAATGAACTATGTTAGTCTCGAAATGACCTAGTTTGTGACGTGTGGACGTTAAACCCATTTTATCCCCCTCCTTCTCTGTCGCTCGCGCTCTCTCTCTGCTCAATGTTTTATCATGGTTTTGATTTGTTTTTTTTTTTTCAGAAACAAAACAACGTCTCGTTAACCCACTGAAGGAATAAAAATATTCTAACACAAAATATCTATGTTAAAGGCTCAATACCACTCTTGTTGTAACTGAATAATATGTCCCAATCTTTATTCTGGTCAACAAATTGTACTATTTTACAATATTCCAATTAATTGATTCTATAATTTCATCTTTACACACCTAATTTAAAAAAATGGAAAAATTCAACTAAATGATTTGAAAAGCCTAACGTAAACCTTTTCAAATGTGACTTGGATTTTAAAATATTTTGAACCCTCTGGACAAGTAAAATAGGATGTAATGGATAATTTAAACAACAGGTAGGACACTAACACATCTACTGTCTGTTCCAAGAGATACTCTGACTCTCAAATTCCTTGCCATTTCTTCAGTTTTAAACGGCCAAAAATTGGTGACATACCTGAAATTGTCATCCCGTAGCTCACTTCGTCGAGCCCTAAAGCCTAAAAGTTCGATAAGATCCACTCTCCTCTTGGAAATTTCACATATTTCGACATCGTTTCTTTCCCAAAACATTAACATTATGAGTGCGTCTGCGTAATGGGAGACTTGCATTTCGCGTATAAGGTAGACAGGTATCTCCTAATCGGGTACATTCGGTTAGAAATATATAGTGAAGGAAAATTCGCCCATTTCTTTTGCGGCAGTAATACTTAGGTTTCAGACTGTGGATCATGTTTTTTGGTAGGATTAATATTATGTTCTGTTTTAACTCGCTTATTTTGCTGAAACTGTGCATTAAGTCACTCGGTTTTGGGGAGTAAGGTCTAGAGATATGACATTTTTATAAATATTCAAAATATATTTGTCCAGACAATTTTCCTTTGGCCTTGCAGTTTTTAACCTATAAACTAAATAATAATTATCCCACTGACACAGAATCAACGGCATGGTATACATGTTGACACTATCTATAATAATAATTAATACAAAATATTATCGTATCGCAAATTAGCTGATATATATCTGGATAGTGGATAGTCCTCGTAAATATGCAGAGCAAGGCGGGAATCGATTTTCGTACTCAGTTTTCCCGCAAATGTTATTTAACTTTTTTATTTTATAATATTTGTATTCTAAACATTTATCTACACGTAGGGTTGATATATAACATCAACCAAATATCCATGAATCATTTTGAATTTTTGCTATTTCTGAGAAATAGGGAGTTTTGTGGGAGTCACTTTTCAAAAGAATAAAATATTGTTCTATTTTAATGACATTTGCTCGATTTGATACTGCAACTGTAAATTATTGTAACATTCTTTTAATTAGAAATGGCATCATTTTGGCAAAATTGGTACTTTTAGCCCTTATTAAACAAACTTTAATTTTAAATATACCTGTTTGTTCATAATTAAATTTAAAAACTTTAATTCCACATATCGAAAAGCACAAACCACTGCGAACATATGAATATATCAAAAGATAGTTTGTAACTTTATGCAATTGTCCAAAGTACCTTTTTACTTTGTTTACCCAAACACATCTACAGTGATTTTGAAAAAAACCCCAACATATTTTCAACCCTTAAAGCAAACATGTTTTTTTCTAAAGAGTGTTATTCAGTGCCACTTAATAATGATGTTTACTAATTTCGTTTAAGTAATATTGTGTAGATATACGACCAAGCTATCAGAAATGGCAATTTCGCCTAAATAGTTAACACGTGTAACATGCTCATGTGAATATGTTAAGTGACGTCCGTTAAAGGATTACGAGCACCGGTGAAACCTGTCATGACTGCATCGCAGTTAAAGTTTTCCATAAATCTTCGAAAATATAACCCCTTGAATAATTGATTATTGTTATCTACAGTTTATTATTTAAAGATGAAAATTACGCGAGATGTCAAGGAATTTACCAAACTATTATGTAGTTATTTCGAGAAACAGAATTATTTACTCCCCGCAGTGTTTCATTTGAATAGATCTAACCCCACTTAACACTGCTGTAATGGAAGCAAATTTCTGTTCCATATTATGACTGGTCAATAGTCCGATTAACAACCAATAGCTAACTGCGTAAAAATTTCATTAGGCTTTCAGAGCTCCAAATTGGACCAAATATATTTACATAACGTTACGTCATGAATCAAGAAATTTACGCCCAATTAACCAGTACATAGCCAAAATTGCAGAACAACTTATTGCGTGACAAACGAGGCTGTCAAAACGGATACGATATAAACAATACTGTTTGGGGTCGAATAATACTTTCACCGTTTTTAATATCTTAAATCACTGTCCAAAGTTTCAGGGAAGACCCCAGATTAAACGAATCGCTGTGATGTTGCTCTACTTGGGATAGATTTGATTGAACAGGAAAGAATAGACACACTCCCGCAAAAGCTCAAGTATAAGAAGTCAATCCAGCAATGGCCAGAAAGGGATTTCTCGAGACAATAGCTTCAGGAATATGTGTTCTGCGTTGCATAACCTTGATTGAAGATATGAAATGAAATGATGTAATTGATGTTTAATGGCACGCCAGCATCAACCGGGCGCAATCTGGTTAATAATAAAACACAGATCTTATTTCGTTTCGTTTTTATAGTTACAAATATTTTAAACTTTAACGCAAATTTAGAAAATAGCCAAATTCTGGCTGGGATTACTGAGCAAAATGGCCATACACTATATTATACGTGCGGAAAAAAAAGCTAGCCACCAATTAATTTTCGTACGTTAGTTACGTACGCCGAGATTAGATGTAGGGTACTGGAATCTGTTGAGGTTTGCCGAGTGGTAGAGTAGGCCATCGAAAGTATAAAAAAACGAAACGAATTATAGATCTGTATTTTAATCAGATTGAACCGGGCGATAATACGCCAGACATAATTATTGTATAAAAATCGCTTTACTTTTGTTGTAGGCTTCACGAGAAATTAGGTTACATATACATTTAGTCTAATCATTGCTCCATCCTAAATTCAACTTTAAATTGTCTAAAGGCAAAGTCGTAAGCAAGGGAATAACTTATATTAACTATGCAATCCGCGATTACTTTTGCATATTATGGACCAAGTTATTGTGTACGCCTATAGCCCCCTTCAAAATTTCCATCACATGCAGTTTAGGATAAAATTTGTACGCAGTTTATATGAATATCAAAACGCTACAGCCCTCGGAGCCAATTAAATATTCAACTCAGTTGGACAAACAGCGGTGGTCATGGATTCCGTAAAAATAAAAGTTATATTCTACAGGGCCGAAACAACTTCCTTGTCATCCAAGTAGACCGAAAGGACTCGAGCCAAACCAACGCCCCCTCCCTCTTCGACTCTTCCGGATAACTAGGTCAAACATGGCTGATGTTCAACAGCGGGATGTAAACAAACTATGATTTTTCGTGAGAGAGAGGTTATATAGCTTGATCTGAATTTGGTTTCCTCGTGTAAGAAAGTAATGGGATGGCAATTCCAGGTATGTCACTAAGTTTTGGTCGTCTAAATTAAAAATTGAAGAAATGGCAAGCAATTTTCGTGTCGTAGTGTCACCTGGAACAGACAGTAGTACTTAGAATAAGGCTATTATTTTTTTCTGGAGCTGCCAAGCCAGCAAGAGTGTTATTGTCCCTTTAACTAATTGTATTTTATTTTTTATGAACGGAACATAAACCGTTCAAGGTATTTTTTTTTTATCGAACTGGACATATCTCATAAACCGTCAAGATAATTTTTATCGATCGGAACATATCTCATCAACCGTTCAAGATATTTTTTATGAACTCACGTCAATCTATTACATTCTACCGTTTGTTAAATCGACCTCCCTCGGTTGAATATTTTTTCCCCACATGTGTAATTATTATTCCTTGGAACATCTAAGAAACCAATCAGGATATTATCTGTATAACACTTTATGATTGAGAATCTGGGATTGATTGATACATCTGACACTGATTGATAAATCTGAGACTGATTGATACATCTGGGCGGGGTCGATACACCTGGAAATGATTGATACATCTGGGACTGATTGATACATCTGGGTCTGATTGCTAAATCTGGGATTGATTGATACATCTGGGATTGATTGATACATCTGGGACTGATTGATACATCTGGGAAGGATTGCTAAATCTGGGAATGGTCGATACGCGGGACCAGTGGAGGAGGGGGGGGGGGGTGATATTAGTGGTTGTTGATGTACATTCGAAATGAAATGAAATGGGGTTTAACGTCCTACTGTTCTGCTCCTATACTGGGCTAATGAAGACGGGCATACGACATGCAGTGCAAATTCATCAAAAGTAACAATTACTAAATTGCGTAGTATCTTTGCAACGTACGGTTTACGAATCTCTGACAATGGTTCGTGTTTTACTAGTGAAGAGTTTAAGACTTTCCATTGTAAAAATGGGGTTCATCAGTTATTCAGTTCACCCTATAGGCATAACCCCAGTTCTAATGGTTTAGCAGAACGTGCAGTAGAAACCGTGAAGGATTGGTTAAAGAATAATAAACAAGATACACTAGATGATAGATTAAACAGAGTTTTATTTACATATCGCATATCTGTACACGCTACTACGGGAAGGTTTCCTGCAGAGTTACTTATGAAACGTCAGTTGAGATCTCGTCTTGATTGTGTGTTTCCAGATGGTAAACAAGAGAGTCAAATTAAGTCACGTGATAAGAAGGTTAAGCTTCGAAACTTTCAAGCCGATGATCACGTTAGTGTGAAAAATTATGGTAATGGACATAAATGGGTATTAGCTAAGAATTATTAAAGTTGCAGATCCGTTATCGTATCAGATTCAAACAACAGATGGGAGAGTCATGAGACGTCATATTGATCAGATATTATTACGTCATGCATCTGATGATGAAGTCGTTGAGCCAGTTGTGGATCCGGTTCCTGATATTAATATTCCAATGGATAAACTTGTGCTAAATCAAAATCAATTGTTCATCATGGTGATTCCAGATGATGTATCACATTTTCCTGCTCGTGTTAGGAAACCACCTGCTTACTTAAAGGACTATGTTGTTCATAAATATTTAGTGACTTTAATGTTCTTCTGTGTTAATGATCTTTTTATGGTTTGTAGGTGAAATTGAGCTGTTTTTTAGATTACGATTAATCTTAGGACGAGGAAACGTAATAAACTAGGACTTCAACAAGAGTTTCCTCCCTTACACTATACTATGCATTGTGTATTGATTGTCATAATAAATAGAAGGCGCATGGAGTTAGCTTCGCAATTGATATGTCTTTTTTTTTGTTTTGGGCCTTATAACTTTTTAACTTATGTCTGTCACCACTCGACTACCCGGCAGAGGAGCGTGTGTGTGTGTGTGGGTGTGTGTGTGAGAGTGTGTGTGTGTGTGTGTGTGTGTGTGTGGGGGTAACAATTGGAATAGAGGCCAAAAGAACGCTTAATATCAATCGAAAGGTTATTCCTCCAATGACCCCTGTGTTTCACACCAAAATTGAAAAGGTCCAGTTAAATACTATGGTCTCTATCACAATGTTTTCGTAGACAATTGATTATCGATACGATTCGTCCTCACATGACACCCATGCTTTTAACCAAATTTAAAACTGTAGCTTCTATCATATCCAGAAAGTATTCAGCAAAGAGGAGATAACTCTTGAATGGAAAGTCGCGGGATGCTGTTTGTCGATAGGATTCATCCCATGTCCCCAGTGTTTCCAACTGGATAAAAAAAAATATGTTAAAAGCTGTGTCTCTACCGTAAGGGTTTCGACAAGCGGAGTAGTAACCCCGGAATGGACAGTTTGGGAAGGATGAATATCAAAAGGATTCACCCTCTCATGACTCCAATGCCTTCCACCAAATTTTAAGATACACTGTAAAAATCTGTATCATCTATCGCGTTTACAAGGGTTCTGGCAAAGGGGGATTACTCCGGAACCGAAAGTTGAGCAACGCTGAATATCAAAACGGTTCATCCTCTAATGGCCCCAATGCTTCACACCAACTTTGATGACTAATCCGTCAGAAATTCAGAATCACCTTACAAATAACCAATTTAACCTGCCATCGACAAATCAGTTTACAATAAGCATAGGTCCCAAAGTTATTCTGGTTTCCCTATCAACCACTGGAGATAAACCTAGTAGTCTACAACTGCCAGCTGATTTTAAGTCATAATAATAGCGAAAACATGTTTTGTTCATCGCATTACAGACCATTGTATGGTGAGCTAATAGAATTTTTATGGACCCAGCCTTTGCATCGCCACCGTAAACGCCAATGGACTGTCTCGTGAGGGGCATTTCGTCATGACGCCACACTCTGATTGCGATATCTGTGACTTTCACTTGTTTATTATAACCACACATTAAATGTCATACATCGACTATACTAATAACGCATAGAACATACAGTGTGCATAACACTTACAAGTCAGACTGTTGCCATAATGCCTAGCACTTTCCGTCACGCCTGTTAGATTGTTGACTGAAGGACAGGGGCGACGACTGTATACGCCCAAAACAACGCGCGGGCGTTAAACGATAAGTCATGGAAACACAAAATTAACTGGAACGGTTTATGAGATATTCTCCAGAAACGTCGGGAGGTCGGGCAGACGAAAGAATTGGTGGACGGAGCCCATCTCAATACCACTGAACCACTCATTCAGTGCGGATAAAAATAAAAACAATTAATAAACATACATCTTTTGCTAAAACATTTATATCAATTTTATTCTGTCAGTGGGTTAACGGGATGCCGTTGTTTTTTTCTGAAACACAAACAAAAATCTTAAATAAGCCGCGAAAAAGTTGATATTTTCATGAAAATGCAAATGAGTCTTTAATAAACAAAAGAAAAAAAATAATATTTTTTTTTTACAAAATCTTGAACACAACAGTAACGACAGAAGATGAAGCGAAAGGTCTTTACACCATGTTTATAATGTCTTCAACGTACGGAGGGTCTGGGTCTGTTGCAACATTTGACAAAAACTTCCATTGCCCATGCGTAACTGGGAGTTTGGTTATTTATGCGGTTGATTATCCAGTAAACTTCGACAAGTTAAGTATGAGTTGCGCCCCTTCTCGAAATAAATCCCATATTTCATGCATTAATATAATAAAACAAACACGAATCGTGACGACGAATTAGGATTAATTTAAAAACATAGATATGGTCCATGAAGAGGGAATTTTTACAATAAAAAATTAAGTGAGTTGAATATTGAACCGGCAATGCAAATGGATTTTTTAAAATTAATTTCAAGGGCGTCGACATCTTGTTTTAGGGCCAGTTACCTCCCTTAGACGTTGTTCATGGTAATGTAACAGACCGGATAATTTAGGCCAATGACCTATTATTCTCAAATGATGACAACCCATCCAGACTATTATTCGTAGAGTATTTGTCTGAATGATAGAGACTACGTCTTGTCATACACAAGGTAATTATAGAACAGTAGTTCGCGTAACGCTGTATATCAATAGATGTAGTATAGACAGTGTTTAGCACAGGGGGTATTGTTCTACAAACACATTTATGGGAAATAGTGGTCTTCGTCTTATCATAACGGTTTCTTTTAAGTTACAGAATGAACACCCTGGCTACTATAGAGCTGACAGGCATTTAAAGCTTTGTGGATAGGTTTGGGAAACAAGGGGGATAACTAATTATATTAATCAAATATTGACGAAACGACATAAGGATTCTCGTCGTGTCATAATACAAGTTTTCCAAAACTTCGATAAAAACTATAGCCTCTACAAGAAGTGTAAACAGTTTGGAAAAAGGGGTTCTAAAATGCTAATCAGAAGTGTTGAAGGACCGACGGACAGAAAAGGTGGTTACAATATACGCCCACATTAACACTTTAGCGTATACAAAAAGCAAGTAAACCTACCACCGACACTTCCAGCGACATTCAGCATAGGTCTCAAAGTTATTCTCGTTTCCCCCACAACCACCATAATTAAAAATAGTACATGTCATTGTTCTTATGTCGTAGTAGTACCGTGGAACATAATTTTTACAATGGCCCAACCCTTTTGGTAACTGACACGCAGGGTTAACTGTAATTAAAACAATATAGAAATTAAATGCCTGAGAAATAGAACGAATAAATTTTATTTCGTTCCAGTAAATCAGGACGTAAACTCTGATTTTTAAGGAAATCTTCAATCCCGACCAAAAAGATGCATTTTTGGAATTTGGCGAGGTTGGCAATATGGCCAAACGAACCCACCGTTCAAATAGCTTATCTTTGAACAATTTTGAAATGGTCGCTATATTTTAATACCCCCGTCAGACTGGGGCGGCGTCCTTACTGCGCTGCTACGGTGACGGAGAATGGTCTCAGAGCGCGTCAAGATCGCCATAACCTTAGTACTGCCAATAACCGCTCATCCAACCTTGTAAGGCAACTGAATGTTTGTCTGCAAACGCTGTGTTGTGCAGGACTAGGATAAAGGTTGCCATGTGTCTTCTACACAACATTAATCCATTATATTGATTAAACTATATCCTAGTCCAGCTCTGAACGTAGGTCTCATTACACTCGCCTCTACGTCTAGGGAACGTGTTATTGAAGCCTTGGCGAAAAAGTTTGGCTTCCCAGTCAATTTTACTGGGCAACTTTTTACTGCGAAACGGTCGCGTGTCAGTCCCTGTGAACGCCTGAACAATATAAATGAAAATCTTAGTGAGAAAATAAAACCTTGTTTACCTCGCTAGAGTCAGTATGAGCGACACAACACGCTGTTAAAAAATACGTCTCCGTCTTCTAACCGATTTGGCGGACATCATTGAAAGGGTAACGCACAAATTTAAGAACTCGGCCATATAAGATGAAACGAAATTTAAGTAAGCCTGGGAGAAAAAAAATTAAATCTTTGAAAAGTTGAGAATCTTCAGTGATTTATTGCTTTGCCTAGCTAAATTACAATAATTTACAATCAAATTCTTTGAAAAATCCCAATTTTTTCGCACCGGGCTTACCTAAATTTCGTTTCATCTTACATGGCCGAGTTCTTAAATTTGTGCGTTACCCTTTCAATGATGTCCGCCAAATCGGTTAGAAGACGGAGACGTATTTTTTAACAGCGTGTTGTGTCGCTCATACTGACTCGAGCGAGGTAAGCAAGGTCTTATTTTCTCACTAAGATTTTCATTTATATTGTTCAGGCGTTCACAGGGACTGACACGCGACCGTTTCGCAGTAAAAAGTTGCCCAGTAAAATTGACTGGGAAGCCAAACTTTTTCGCCAAGGCTTCAATAAAACGTTCCCTGGACGTAGAGGCGAGTGTAATGAGACCTACGTTCAGAGCTGGACTAACTATATCCACGACTCCTCCTTTAATCGAACTATATTTGTTCACAATCATAACATAAACAATACTCACACTGATCAGCAGTGAATATTTGCTAGGCCGCAACCATGGAGGTGTATACATCTCTATGGCCGCAACAATCACTGATAAGGATGACATTGATGCGACTTAATGAGCCCCAAATATTAACTTTTTTCCTCCGATAAATTAAATTCTAAAACTTTTTTATGTATTAGAAGAATAAATACAGACGTTTGACGTATTTGTAGGTAGAAATTATTTCCAATTTAGTGTAAATGGATATTAAAATGAGTAAAAGGCGCCATTCTGCCCGAATCAGTAAGGTCTTATGTAAACAATGCACGCGTCATTCAGCCAATGATTGACGCCGCGTGATGAGATGTCACGTGTTGAAGGCAGTCATCTTTTACAGAGATATTAGACGATTTTCGTAATCCTCTGTGAAACAGATTGAAAAATACTATCTTCTACAACCCACAGAAGTCATCACTGGCAAGGACGAATCGTCGTATCACAGAACTACAACAATCTGATTAAAACACAAATCCAATTTCGTTTCGTTTTTATAGTTCAAAATTTCGATTTTACTTGTCTTTACTACACTTGGACCTGGAAGCGTTGTTATTTAACTCGTGTTCTGCTTGAAATGAGGAGTCAGCCAATCAAATGGTCTGTCGAATCGAGCGTTTGACCTTTTTTGCGCGGAACTGTGGGTAGACATTAGCGGCAATAGAAATCAAAACAAAGCAAAAGTAGATAAAAAATACATGGCGGTTGCTAATTGGTTAATCGAATGACTGACGTAATCGGGTCAAATGTCGCTTGCTTGGTACCTGACGTCATAGAACGTGAACTCCCACTATAACTTGTTAGATCTACATGTAGTGTAGGCCATCGAAAGTATAAAAAATGAAACGAAATATAGATCTATATTTTAATTAGATTGAGAACTACGACAAGTGTCTGCCCTATTATTGGAAGTGTATTGGATCAACAACACAATTAAAGATATATTCCCGCGTTCAATTCAAACTTTGTGATTTGATGATATAGTTGGACTAAAAACATATTCAAAGTAACCAATCTATTAAAAATTTGCTTCAATTCCCTCTCAAAACTTTGTATTCACCGGGGATACCTATAGCTATAAGTAAGCTGTTGTTAGACGCAATGTCTGTCAACTTAGCTTCATTGTTGGAGGGTCCATTTTTCAGCATGGATTTATCATTACTTACTGTACATTTACCATACATATTGAGGCCTGAGTGAATTCTTAATTATTTCTTCTTTTACCGCCGTTTGTACGTTGACACCCCTCATTGTTCCCAAAACCGCCTAACCATATGATCAAGAAATAACAACCGCTCCCTCACTTAAGCTGGCACACAATAAGCTGGCACACAATAAGCTGGCAGATAACAGTCGCGTTGCCAGTTAGTGACACCCTGACAATTTTGCCCAGTGCTTGCCCCATGGGCGTTTTTCGGGTAATCCAGTATTTTTCTAGTAAGATTGGGTGTCCATACCTTCCATATATACCAAATTTGACATACTTTTATTTGAAATAACCACCCGATAAATACTTTACTTGGAAAATATCTTTAAATGAAAAAATATTGCACCGTATATATAAACTAGAGTCTAATTAAATATCATTTGGCTAAAACAGAAAAAATAAGGGTTTCCTACTTGAAAGTAACTCTAATATTGAATACATATAAATTAAACAATTAATTTGTCATTGAAGTTTGAAAGTAAAAGGTATGACCTGTCAAGTGATTATAATCGCCATTTTCAAGTCGGAAATTCGTATTTACCGAAAATACCGTAAATAACATAACCAAATACATACCAGGGAGTTGTTTAGCTTCACAAGTTGTCAAAAAGATGGTCGCAACAAAGACTAAAACAGCTACAGCTACGGAAAAACGCATGGTTGTGTAGTATTATTCCGTACGTCTTTTGGTACACACAATGTATGATGCTTATTGTTTGTATTTATAAGCTCAACCCCATATCGTTAAATCTGGCTAATGTCAGAAAAATAAATTTGAAGTGAGAAATAATCACTGCTGAAATTGTTTCATGTTGTTACAAAGTTATAAAAATGTCATTTGTGTTCCTGTAATTTCTCCATGTATTCACCGGTTCTCATATTATTTAAATCTTTTATTCGCAGAAATGTTAAATTTAATTGTCATTTTATTCCTGCACATGTAATAATAGATACTAACCGTTATAATACACATTTTACGAGGGGCTAAAAGAGGAGAGGGGGTGAGAGTGCAGGTGTGCATCTCGAGGATCACACTATTAAACATACATTATCCAAGAGCTAAATCTGTTTATTGCAGGCCTTTCTTTAGGCCTGAAATTCTATACAAACTATTAATTAGACATTTAATAACATGAAAAGAACCTAATCAACTCTCGATGCCATCTGATGTGTTGGATTTTCACTGGATTTGAATCCGATCTACTGCTCAACGCTCATTGGTGATTAATGCAAATCGTACCGACTTTAGTAATGATGATCGAAGCTAGAACTAAAATTCAATCGTTAATATCTCGGTTGAGAGTGGTGCAACTTGACTGAAATTGTCAGCATATTCCCTTTACATTATCTAGTTTTTAACTATTATAGTGAGAACTGTCAGCTCTTTATCTAATCTTCCATAATGTCCCTTTAATAATATTAATAAATATAATTTTATAAACATCAGCTGTCTCCTGTTCGACTCCACAAGTCCATCAGTTTATTGATATGTCAAACAGATTTTAATCTCGATTAATTAGTATTTTATTTTCAGTATTGTGTTTAACTTTGCGTATCAATGTTAGTGTATGTATGATTGTAACTATATATATACACAGTATATAGTTTGCCATTTTAACTGTGCATAAACACCCATTTGTTCCTTTGTATCAGTGGTTCTCAACCCTTTTTTGCCAACGACACACCTCGGAACACATGAAAAAATAGCGGCACACTTGGTTAAATATATATGAAAAGCATTGGAATTTTGCAAAATAAAAACATGGCAAGTCATAGACACAAGACTAGACATAGACACATAGAATGACTCAAATTAAATATAGAAAAACGCAGCTATGAATTTACCAGTAGACACCAGTGAATACTCAATTGGGATCACGTGGTTTTTCGCATTTTCTTTGTGTGCCGTTCATTTCGCGGCACAATTAGGAAGATCTTGCGGCACACTGGTTGAGCTAGGGAGAGGGGTTTTACATAGGCCTCGACTGTTGCCCAATCCCATTCAGACCTCCCGAATAAAAATATTGTTTTTTTTCTTCTCTTTATTTTTTAAAAGAAAAAATATAACAAGATAACAATATTATTCCATTGTCCGCATCAATTTATTTGTCAATTAAAAGTCAAATCTTCTCAATCTATACGACGAGAGAGAGAGAGAGAAATTGGGTTTAACGCCCACTCGACACAAACAAGATCATTTCGGGACTAACACATGGTTCATTTTTATTTCAATAATTCGCTTGCGCGTAGGGGTCTTTAGCAGTGGGAGGAAACTGGAGGACCCGGAGAAAACCCACGAGGTTGGACAGGCGACCCTACTCCTTGTCACGTACAACCAAGGAATCGAAACCACGCCAGTGGACCCAATGACAGACCTTATGATATAGCGCGCATGTGCTAACCATTCGGCCATCCAACCCCTCTCTATATGACGAAACGAATTAGAACGCCTGGGACGGTTGGGACAGCAAAATAAGACGTTAAACCCCATTTCATTTCATTTTGGCAAACTTACACGCAGCCTTCACACTCAGCAGTGTAGAGGTATAATATTTATTTTTTGAAGTGTAAGGTGAAATTTCGTGATATGCTTGACTGACAAAATTCATTTGATGTCTCTCGTGATGTGATTTGTCATGTGAGGTGAAAAATTAATGAGATACATTTTAATGATAAATTACATAATAAAACTCGTTAAAAAGAACATGTCAGATAAGTCCTTTGTCTGTTCGTCTTTCTATATTTTAATTCCTAAATAAAATGTCATTTTATGAAATGTCGCTAACTAACTCACCGTGTAAATAATTGTATCAGTAGTTGGTCGTAGGACGTCTTTCTTGTCATCAAGTTGTTTTACAAAGGAAGTCGCGGTTAGTCTAGCCGTCAGGGAACCTGGCGCTAGAATATAATCACGCCCTGAGTCGAAAAGAATCTCGGGATATTTCAAACCATGTTCCCACACGTAATAAAGAATACGTCAGCGGACACGTAAAAGAATCATTGGCATATGTAATGCGATAACGAATAGGCGGAAACGCCGCTGTTCGGGCACTGAGATATATTTACTTATTACTTCGAGAATAGATCTCTGCCCAAAATGACCGCCATATCCAAAAATTAGTATATTGTTTTGTAATGCGGTTCTACTCTGTTTCAAATCTGTCATACACACAAAGACTAAATAAATTTTATTAAATGGAAGCAGAATAACGTAACAAAATTCTCAAAGTATACTTAGTGATTTCGACTAAAATCGTCGATTTAGGACTTAAAAATGTCGGTCAACTAGCTTAGTGTCTGGCATAGATCTATTTGTTAAGTCCAGCTCAATTTTCTTCAGTGTCGCTGAGATGTAAATAAGGTTAGGGCACGTGATTGTTGGCGAGATTGCAGGTTAGGGTTAGCATTAGGGCTAAGTCCAGGGTTAGGGCTAGGGTTAGGGTTAACGCTAGCCCTGTTTACATCTTTTGACCTTTGACCAAACTTGAAATTAACCTTATCAAATAGATCTAACCCTCAAGCTGAGCTAATTGTAGACAAATGAAATGAAATGAAATGAAATGGGGTTTAACGTCCTACTGTTCTGCTCCTAACCTGGGCTAATGAAGACGGGCATACGCCATACAGTGTGCTATGAGGGAAATTTTGCCCGGACAGCGGCACTACGGCCTACTCTTATATCGAATTCCAACTGTCAAGGGATCTTTTACGTGCACGCCAATGTGTACACGGGACCTCGGTTTTTCGTCCCATCCGAACGACTAGACAGCTTTCCTTGTCAGCCCCTCCGTCCTGCATCACTGACAAGGGAGAATCACGCCGGAAAATCTGGATGAACTTTCTCGGCCAATGCAGGGATCGAACACCCGACCTCCAGGCTAGCGAGCTAGCGTCTTACCCACTTAGCCACGTGATCCCCAATTGTAGACAAACAGCTTAAGTTAGTATGCTCTAACAATTCACATGTAACCGTGGAAACAAAACGCATATGACAGTCTCAAAATGGCAGAAATATTGTGTTAACGAGACATTTTATTCCTTATTTAAAATGGGTGCTAATTATTAAAATCATACAGCATACAATTTACACATGTACATAAATAACGATCAATAAAATAATATACATTTACAAACAAAACAAATGTATGTCAAGTCTTAAAATTAATAATCCCTAGATTTCAGATTTCATACCAGTTTGTAATGTCGTAGCCTCTTTGAATCCATTCTGCCATTCCCGTGAGTTCTTGTACATATTTATTCCTAAGAATATCATAGCAGGCTTTTGATGAGAAATTTATAATCTGGAGTTGTTTCCCGTCTTCAACTTCGATTTAAATATTAGAATGGGGTTGACTAATGTGGGAGAGAGAGAGAGAGAGAGAGAGAGAGAGATATGGGGTTTAACGCCCATTCGACACAAACTAGGTCATTTCGGGACTAACATATGGTCTACTTTTATTTCAATAATTCACTTGCGCGTAGGGGTCTATAGCAGTGGGAGGAAACCGGAGGACCCGGAGAAAACCCACGAGGTTGGACAGGCGACCCTACTCCTTGTCACGTACAACCTGGGAATCGAAAACACGCCAGTTGACTCAATGACAGACCTTATATGATACAGCGCGCACGTGCTAACCATTCGGCCATCCAACCCCCTAATACAGTTTCTAACACGTCTTTTAATAAGATCTGGATACACGTGATAAAATTATTCCCGAAGTGAAATTTGCAAAGAACATCGATAACATATTGATGCTCTACTCTATCGAAGGCTTTCTCGGTGTCCAAGTTTAAAACGTAACATGGTATGGAATGGGTAACGTGGTTCAGTGGAATAAGGGGCTGGCTCTCTAACAAGGGGGACCCGAGGTTCGATCACGGCACACCAGATTGGATCACGGCATTGACTGAAAAAGGGAAGACTGGCATGGACACGTTGGCGTGCACTTGAAAAAACCCTTGGCGGTTGGATTTCGAAATAAGAGTATAGGCCGTAGCGCGGTTGTCCGGAAACATTTTACTCACAGCACACCGTATGGCGTACACTCGTCTTCAGTAGTCCAGTCGATGCAAAGCAGCAGGACGTTAAACCCCATTTCATTTATTTATTTAAACGTAATTGAGATGATATACATGTAATATCAGAAACCTTTGGGAGGGTTCGGGTTCGATCCAGATGCAAGGAAGAAGACCTGACAAGAAATATAAGTCTAGTCGTTCGTATATGGTACGGAAGGATCACGGTGGCTAAGTGGATAAGACGCTAGGTCGCTAGCCTGGAGGTCGGGTGTTCGGTCCCTGCATTGGCCGAGAAAGTTCATCCAGATTTTCAGTAATGCAGGACGGAGGGCCTGACAAGGACAAGTCGTTTGGATGGGACGAAAAACCAAGGTCACGTGTACACATTGGCGTGCACGTAAAAGATCCCTTGACAGTTGGAATTCGTTATAAGAGTGGGCAAAATTTCCCTCATAGCACACTGTATGGCGTATGCCCGTCTTCATTAGCCCAGTTTGGAGCAGAACAGTACTCATAAATCCCATTTCATTTCGTACGGGAAAGCAATGCCCACCGGTGTACTCTTGACCGTACACGTAAAAGTACCCTTTGAGAATTCGATAGAAAGTAGGACATAACGCACAAACAATCTGAGAAGAAATAACTGAAATAATATTGTTATGTGCTGTTACTTGAAACTGTCCACATTGTCGCTATAAGTGTAAAATCGGTTCTTGGGAAAATTTACTTTCGAAAAGTTTCGTAACCTGACGATAAAGTTTGGATGCCCTGCTTTAAACAGTTCCAGGATAGGTTGGGGTTATATAAATTTGGAGTTGTGTAATTATATAGGTCGCGGTCAGGGGGTCAGGCTATATAGTATTATAGTATTTGGTTATAGGTTCACGATAGAGATTATAGGGGGTGTAGTAAATTACCCGATCTAGTCGATCTAAACAAACAAAATGTATAGGGTTCCGTCCCAGTGATAAATACGTTAAGTTTGATTAACATAACCTATATATTATAACCAACGATATCTCATGTCTCTCAATGAAGTTCTTTTCACAAGGCGGGTTCGCTCCCAGTGTTAGGCGAGAAAGTTTATCGGAATTTCCCGGCGTGGTTTATTATTGTCAGTGGTGCAGGATGGAGGCCCTGACAATGGTAGCTGTCTAGTTGTTCGGATGGGACGAAAAACCGAGGTCCCGTGTACGTAAAAAATCCCTTGGCACTCGAAATAAGAGTAGGCCATAGCACCGCTTTCCGGGTAAAATTTCCTCCAAAGCACACTGCATATGGCGTATGTCCGTCTTCATTAGCCCAGTAGAAGCAGAACACCACGTAAGACGTTAAACACCATTTCATTTCATTTCATTTCCTAAGCATTTGAATAACTCAGAATTATTACATAATATATAGGTTTATATATATATATATATATCTAAAGAACACACACACATATATATATATATATATATATATATATATATATATATATTGCTGTAACCTTATATAACCTTGAAACCATTTAAAGAGTCACATGAGTCTTCCATTTTATGTAACGGTCACGTGACAAATCTGGTTTCCATATAACCTTCTTATTACCATCTTCGAAAACCACTAGCCTGCCCGACTCTTATTGACACGCGCACCCGTTGGCTGGCTAATAAAACAGGTTGCAGACGTGAAACCAACAGACGACAGTATCACGACATAGGGTGAACAGGGACTCTTAGCCACTTTGCTTCATTTTTCAGTGTGTAAGTTCTTATTGATAAGTGTTGACTTCTTGAACTATCAAACATTATTAACCTGGGCTTCATACCACGAGGATGTGTTGACAGGGATTTCATGTTTTAAAGTGTATACCTCACCAGCCGACAGCTAACAGGACTACAAGCCTAACCTAATCCGTGCACTACTCAATACCAAAATTGTCGTGATCTACACATAAGTAAGAAAGTTTAAAGAAATAACAATGAATTCGCAGGTAATTATGATATTATGTAATTATTGAAGGAGCTAAATTTCTATTCTTTGGCTCCTAGAAATGGACACAAATGGGTCGCAACGCATATAATAATGTAATATGAATGTATATAAACTGATTTAAATTTAATCGTTTCTTTTTTTACTGTAATGTCTAATCAGTTATATTCGGCTAAATACGCGATGAGTCCAAATTTAATGAGAGTCTTTGGCGGCTTGCACCTTGTCAGTGGCGCAGTGGTGTAGGACGGAGGCCCTGGTAAGGGAAAACATTGTAATTCGGATGGGACGAAAAACTGAGGTCCCATCTACACATTGGTGTGCACGTTAAAGAACCTTTGACAGTTGGATTCAAAATACGAAGGCCATAGCACCGATGTCCGGGCAGTAGGACGTTAAACCCCATTTCATTTATTAATGCCACTGATCATTATTGGAGGAATTTTGAGTACCCTTACTATCTACAATATTGTGGAAGTTGTGGGACGTTGGATGGCCAAATGGTTCGCATAAGGTCTGTCACTATCAACTGGCGTGGTTTCGATTCCTCGGTTGTACGTGACAATGAGTAGGGTTGCCTGTCCAACTTCGTGGGTTTTCTCCGCGTCCTCCGGTTTCCTCCCACTGCTAAAAGACGCCTATGCGCAATCGAATTAATGAAATATAATTGAACCATGTCTTAGTCCCGAAATGACCTAGTTTGTGTGGAGTGGACGTTAACCCCCCCTCTCTCTCTCTTTCTTTCTAAAGTCATTCAAAGAATAAAAACATTGAGTTGGCATGTTATTATGACAAGATGGATTATATTATGTGTAAATGCAAGAAAGACTGTAAAAAGCAAACACCATATCTTTAACTCTCTTAGGTGAAGACTAAACATGTGTATGGTGTTCTATTTCAACCACTTTGTGCGTCAGCTTTGTGAAAATTTTATTTTCTTAAACTGAACTCTCCTTTGACATTCGTAGACTATCAATGTAATTCGAATTAGAAAAGGCGACGCGTGTTAAAAAGACAACGCTGGATTTCTTCCCCACAACATAAGGAATCATTATGCAAGAACTAAACCTACATATTACAGTCGTTCTTTTGGCTTGAAATGTTCCATAAATTATTATTTCAACATTATTCACATGACAAGCCTATAATCAACGCTCTAAGTCATTGGATAGCCGAGATGTTAAAACAAATAACGATAAAATGGATAATCGAGACTTAGTCTCGGTGGTCAAGTACCATTTCTACGATAATTAATTAGTCATAACTTCGCCCAAAATTAATTTGATGAACAATTTTAATATGTTGATTTTTCATTATCCTGGTGGTTCTTGCTATAAGGGGGGTGGGGGTGGATGACCGAATAATTAGTACATGCGCGCTGTATCATAAAGTCTGTCACTGAGTCAACTGGCGTGGTTTCGATTCCCCTATACGCGCAAGCGAATTATTGAAATATAATTGAACCATGTGTTAGTCCTGAAATGGCCTAGTTTGTGTCGAATGGACCTCTCTCTCTCTCTCTCTCTCTCTCTCTCTCTTCTGGCTATAGTAGTTTTAACTATATTATGACAATATTTCCTTATTATATGTTTTATTGTAGATGTTGAGTTGTTTAACAGTTTTTTTGGTCGTGTTTGTGGTAAACACAGAATGCCAGTATCTAAAATTTAAACCATACAAAAGTTTACTAACGGCGGTATGTTATATTTACTTCATTAATTAACTCCAACATTGATCTTAATTTTGATTTTCAGGATGCAAATGTAACACATCCCAGGAGGGGGTTTGCTAGGTTCCGGAGACAAATTTTTGTTTCGGGGGGGGGGGGGGGGTATCTGAGCATAAGTTTCGCATTTAGACTTGGTGAGTATCAAACCAGGTCCCCCAAAAAGCGCCTACCAAAACAGGACGTTTATATACGCACAAATTATTTTCGAATTAATGCATCTCTCATATATTAATCCCTTGATTGGCTGGATATAGCAAATCTGATTGAAATATAGATCTATATTTCGTTTCGTTTTTTTATACTTGAATCAGATTGGCATTATAATGTAATTTAGTACATACGAAATGTACTTTTAAAAACTACACACTATCTGATTAAAACACAGACCATATTGTATTTCGTTTTTATAGTTCTAAATTTCGTTTTACTTCTCTTTACTACGCTAAGATCTGAAAGGGGTGTTATATAACCCGCCTTCTGGATGATGTGAGGGATGAGCCAATTAAACGGGCTGTTACGGCGAATTTTTGGCGTGAGGTGCACTGAACTGTGGGTAACCCACTAGAAACATCAATGCTGATTGGTTAATCAAATATCTGACGTCGTAGGGTCAAAAGCCGCTCGTATGACCTCTGACACGACCTTCCACTACAGCTGGTCAGATCTTTATGTAGTGTAGGCCATCGAAAGTATTAAAAACGTATTAATCAGACTGAACTACACACAAAACTTGTGCATAAATATTTCACACAAGAAAAATATAAAAAAAACTTATGTGCCTAGTATTTTTTAATAGCACGAGCTAATTTTAAACCTCGGTATAGTATACATAAAAGCCTCATAGGCCTGGAGTACGTATAATATAATACGTCAATTTGCTAGATGACAGTCATTTATTTGGCTATATACACGACTAAAAAACTATGCTGGAATAGACATCGCTTACCGGAGACCGGATGAAAGCATTAACTCGTGACGGGACACAAATGACCCAGTGTAAGGATTCAGAAACTATTGGATGATATCGAGAAGATATTTATTTTTTACAAGAACTGATATTTCGCCGGATATATTTACACGTATTATAGATTTTGTAAATTACTAACAGATTTAAAATCAAACCCTAGAAAACATAAATTATCCAAACCCCAAACGCCACTGTCCGAGCAAAATCCCCGACCCCCCCCCCCCCCCTTAAAAAAAATAAAAATAAAAATTAGCACATGTTAGTCCCAAGATGACCCAAATATTGTATTAACGAAAATTTAAACTCTGTGGTAGCGGTTTGCTCTATTTCTATTTGAAACTATATGTGCAGGTCTCTAAACTTTATTAGAAATAATTTCCACTTATTTAATATAGACTTTAATGAGAAGATAATTCTATTCATCTGTTGTTATATTTTAAAATGATATGTTTAAATTAATAATATGTTTATATTGGTAATTTTAGCCGGATCCTGATGATAAAGTTTGGACATTTGCTGTCAGTGGTAGAATCAAAATTTATAGCTACTTGTAAGTAAATTTTTTGATTATTTGTCAATGATTTGTTATCAATGGCGCCTGGTACGAACGTGATTAGCGTATTACGGCCCTAGTTACTTTAGGAACGAAGTCTTAAAGAACCTGGTGCCCTCTCGTCGTTACTGGCGCGTCCTAATGACAACTAATATGAAAATAATCCTTTCCCCCTCCCCCATCTAGGTTCTAAGGCTATTTTGGAATACCTGTCGTCTATTTTTCACCGCGATTCTTCTTTGATCGCCAAAAGGAATAATTTTTGCCACAAATTTATAATAATCCAACGAAGAGAGAGCACTAGGGGTTTCTAAGACTTCGTTGCAGCCCCAATAGATCTATTTGATAAGGACAACTTCAAGTTTGGTCAAAGGTCACGAGATGTAAACAGGGCTAGCGCTAATCCCAACCCTAACCCTAGACCTAATGCTTACCCTAACCCTAACCTACAATCTCGCCAACAATCAAGCGACCTTGACGAAAATTGAGCTGGCCTTAACAAATAGATTTAGCCTCGGGATGGGGAACACAAATCTTTGTTCTAAAAACAACTGTAGCGAAGTTTGTAAGCTATAAGTTTGTGTAGTGTGGGTGAAACTTGAAGAATTTTGATGACGTATATAATGGTAAGATAGCCTTAATTATTACAGATGGATTTATTGATGTTGTTTTTTTTTCCTTTTAGAGATAAACAAGGAAAGTTATCAGGGTGGACAGTAGATTTTGTCAATGAAGGTGAGACGCGTTATCTTTTTTACCCCCAGCTATCAGATGGACTTCCAGTTATCTGTAATATGCACCCAATTGCTAGTAACTTTTCCATTGAACATGTCACCCCCTTCTTGTGAATTTGGGGTTACCCTTTTAATAATGAAACGAATGAGGAAGAAGTAGCCGCTCTGGTTTGACAATTTTCTCATTGACGTCATATTGTCACTTGACGGCAATGGTATTTCAATGCATTTTAACATTGTACTTATAGCCTCACTTTAATAGCTAAGAAATGAAATGAAATGGGGTTTAACGTCCTACTGTTCTGCTCCGACTGGGCTAATGAAGACGGGCATACGCCATACAGTATGCTATGAGGGACAGTGGCACTACGGTCTACTCTTATATCGAATTCCACCTGCCAAGGGATTTTTTACGTGCGCGCCAATGTTTACACGTGACCTCAGTTTTTCGTCCCACCCAAACGAATGGACAGTTGTCCTTGTCAGACCTTCCATACTGCACCACTAACAACTGGAAACCACGCCGGAAAATCCCGATGGACGTTCTCTGCCAGCCCCGGGATTGAACCCGCGAACTCATGACTATCGAGCCAGCGTCTTAATCACTTAGCCACCGTGGCTCCTTAATGGCTAAAACCACAAAATCAAATGACTTTAAATGGGATTTTAGTCCTACCATTCTGCACTGGGATAACGGGCATACACCATGTTGTGTACCATAAGATAAATTTTGCTCGGACAACAGAGTTTCCGCTTAATCGTCATACAATTCAAATTGACAAGGATCTTTCACGTGCAATCCAACTTGTAGCCAAGAAGTGATTCCAGATCCTGAATGTTATGTTTGATTTATTTCAGTTTGTAGACTAGCCCGTAAGAAATGTAGTATGGTTCTAGCTGAATTTACAGAATGTACATACACGGACCGTAATATCAACTACCCCGGTCGAGGTAAAGTCTTATTTGATTCATCTGACCAGGAACAGGCCCTCCCGACTGAGTCTCACGGCTCCTAAAGTCGGTCCGGAATTAGGAATTATACAAAACTTTTCTGAAATAAGAATAATTTTCTTGATTGCTTGATATTGTCAAAACCAAATTATTTTAAATACAGATCACTTGGTAGGTTGATGAGATGAAATGGGGTTTAACGTCCTACTTTTTTGTACCGACTGGGATAACGAAGAAAGGCATACCCTATGCAGGATGCTATAAGGGAAATTTTCCCCGGACAGTGTCACTCGGTTTACTCTTATTTCGAATTCCAACAGTCAAGGGATGTTTAACGTGCATGACAATGTGTACACATGGCCTCAGTTTTTCGTCTTATCCGAATGACTAGACACTGTCTTTTGCCCTCTGTCCTGCACCACTGACAAGAGAAAAACCCCGCGTGAAAATTTCTCGAACCCGAGACCTCCTTGTTAGTGAGCCAGTGTCTTACTCACCGAGTCACCGCGGCTCTCACAGGTAGATTGATAAACAGTATTATTTGGTAATTTTGTTTTATTGTAGGTTTAAATGCTGGTTGGTTTGATGCGTGTACTGGTTATACTGTTACCGAAGACAGACTGAGTACATATGACATGTCATTAGCATATTTAAAAGCAGTTTCAACTTTTGCTGTTCTTCCTGGAAATCCCAGTGGTTTTGATCCATCATTAGACGATTATAGTAATTTTACCATCAGTAAGTTTCAGATTTATTTTAACGGAGACAAATCTTTAACTCAATATCATCCACAGTCTTCAACACAGCAAACACGACTTATTGGTCAATTTAAATCAACATTGATGTTGTTATCTTACCGTGAAAAGTTGGGCCTCTGGCATCCAATATTTAAGACACAATAAAATTTTTAAAATTGGCACACGGATCGCGTGTCAGAATGCTTTCGAGCGCCAGTTGCAATGAAGCGACTCGATGAACGAGGCTAAACATATCCCACAGGAGAATACTACCGGTGCAGACTGGAATAACCAGACGCCGAAGACTGCCATTCAACTTGGGCTCTTGGCGTATTTCGCAGAACATAACTGATTAGAAATTGCAGTAAAAACAGAATCGATTGAATGTAAATCAGTTTATATATACATTCATATTATATGCTTTGCGACCCATTCGTGTCAATTTTTAGATGCCAAAAGAATAGCGCTTTACCACCTTTAAATACTGTTATTTCCGGAACCCACCGGAAGTACATTTGATCGAATCTGATGAAAATCAATTCGTTTTTCTTTCCTTTATATATTCCCCATTTTGATACTTAACATAGTTTCTGTAAACAGCCAATCAAAACGCAATAGCCCCAATCACGCCAAGACATGGTCCTTTGATCAAATATTTAAAATTATCTTTATCTTTAGAGAGACACAAAGACAATTTTATATTATTTATAATATGTGTTTCTTTCAGCTCATTTAACGGGGGCGTGTTCTAATGCCGCGTGTATGACAAGATTCGGTAAAAAATATGGTAATATTAAAATTGCAGCAAATTTACCTGATGCGAAACAAATATTAGCAAATAAAGAGGTGAGAAACATTCATTTCATTTCATTATAGAGTAAGCTGACCCAATTAACCACAATAATGGGGGTGGGGGGGTTGATAGCCGAATGGTAAGCACGTATCATAAGGTCTGTCATTGAGTCAACTGGCGTGGTTTCGATTCCCCGGTTGTACGTGACAAGGAGTAAGGGTCGCCTGTCCAACCTCGTGGGTTTTCTCCGGGTCCTCCGGTTTCCTCCCACAGCCAAAGCCCCCCCTACGCGCAAACGAATTATTGAAATAAGATTGAACCACGTGTAAGTCCCGAAATGACCTAGTTTGTGTCCAGTGGACGTTAAACGCGTGGAATCGTGTGGTCTGTCATTCAGTCAAATGACGTGGCTTCGATTCCCCGATTGTACGTGACAAGGAGTAGGGTCGCCTGTACAACCGTGGGTTTACTCCGTTTCCCCCCCACTGCTAAAAAAAACCTACGCGCAAGCAAATTATTAAAATGTAATTGAACCATGTTAGTCCCGAAATGACATAGTCTCCTTCTCTGTCTCATTAAAGATCCCGGCTTTATTCCATTTCAATCACAATATATAACATGTTAATTTTGTAATTTCAGGCTGATGCATTATTTTATCCACGCGACAATGTAACTGATTTGGATAATCTATCCCCCAAATTTCACTGCGAAATAAAAAATTCGGGCACTGGTATAATGGCTAAGAAAGGCAGCCCTTTAGTCGCCTGGTGGAATCCTGTTTTTGCTAGATGGACAAAAAGCGGGGGATTTGCCCGGTTCTGTAAACGTGCCAGCAAGAAGTATAATTGTAAGATTTTAATTTTTTTAATTACGAACGCATTCTCACACACCAGAATGGGCTTAAATACACACGCCTTTTTACATAGATAACAAACCTTAATCTCTCAACCCTCTGTGTTTCGAGATAAGAGATGAGGCCATCGCCATCGCCTTCAACGTAGTACACGCGCGAGCGATTCGCACCCGGCATTTGTAAACAAAATTGACAATATTTTTAATCAAAACAACGATTGGTTATTGTTATTTATAATATTTCTGCCACACCCAACTACAATTAAGCATATAATCCAACCTGAAACGGGTACAAATCTCCTCTTTTTAAATCAAAGCGACAGTAGATCGCTTTTCCCGACATTTTAAATTTACATCTGTACACACATAAAGGCGGGGCCTCGTGTGCAATAGCCAATCAAAGTACCCATCTGATCAGAGTTGCGCAGTAGGTATTACGGCGTAATTATAAACGTCTGAATCAATTATGATAAAAACAACGCTTGATTTACTTTATTGTCAATATTTGCTGATAAATGAATGTTGTTTCAGTAGATTGGACTGCGTATGTGTAATAAGTACTAATAGTATAAAATTAACTTATTTTTAAGATGGTACATACATTAATAAAGAAATTGAGTTTGCCACTTGGAACTAAAGGCATCCAATCGTAGCTAAAAACAAGCACATCAGTATATCTCAGCGTTTTTAGTTACGTTCTCGTAGCTACTTTTTACATAGTGCCCATTTAAAGAACCCTCACCGTTTTGTGTGTAAAATTATTACATGTTTATGTGAGTAATTTCCCCTGTCCACGTTTGAAGGATGGTCTATACGCATCTCTACTGCTACTCCTCCAAACATCATATTGATAACTCACAAAGGCACGCACATCAGACGTAAGCAATCCCCCCAACCCCACCGTACACTGTTGATGGGTACGCCCCACCCCGTAAAATATACCAAAACAGTGTATACATAAGACTGACCCTCCCACACTCTCTCTATCGCGCTACAGACTGTATATATTTCACGGCTACGCCTCTTGCTAGAACTTGATAATCATTGTCCGTTCATTATTTTCTATTTTCAGTTGAATTTGAATGTCTATCGTCACCAACTAGAGATTTCAGTGATTATCTACCTCATGAAGACAACCCTGCTTGGTCGAATCTCTTCTCTCCAAAACTCTAACCTTACCATATTCTAGGCTTTTTTTTTATAAACTATTGTTAATTGAACTTTTGTTTAATAACTGCCTGAAGAGACGCTATTGCGGTGAAAACGTTAGCATAAAAATATAGTTTTATTTTTCCATCTTTATTTTCATTGATATGTACAGTATGTTTGATTTAAACCTTTTTTGCATTTATCTAAGTGAGTTTTTTTTAAGAACAAGACACATGGTTGATCTTTAAGTCATTGTATTATTTTTTGTCTATTTCAAATTTAGAACAGTATTGTTGATATTTAGGTACAACTACAATCTATGGCGTAGCTGCTAGAGTTTTTTTCGACCCTTCAATTTGGCAAAAATTAAAGATGCATTATGCGAGAGCTAAATCTGTCTATTGCAGGGTTTTTTTCTTACCTTCATATGTTATATTAGTTATAATTTAGACATTTGTTCGCTCAGATTAAAGAGAGAGATAAATGGGGTTTAACGTCCACTCGACACAAACTAGGTCATTTTGGGACTAACATATGGTTCAATTTTCTCTCAACAATTCGCTTGCGCGCAGGGGTCTTTAGCAGTGCGGGGGGGGGGCTGGGGAACCCGTAGAAAACCCACGAGGTTGGACAGGCGACCCTACTCCTTGTCACGCACAACCAGTGAATTTTCAATATATTCACTTTTCATTATCTATTTTTGAACTATTATATAGTAAGAATGGTCAGCTCTTAAATGTAAAATTCCTCTATTATAGACTTATATATTTGGTAAATTATCAAATATTTATAGATGTGTATTATAATAAGTAATTAATGTTTAAATAAATATCATATTAATAGCCCGGGATTAACTATTAAACAAATAGGCACGTACCGAAAAAAAAAGGTTTTAATTTCAGCATGCATGTAAGGTTTTGTTGCATTTCTACGCCATATAAAATTTTGTTTTTTTATTTTTAATTACATAGGTCTGCATATTATTATTTGTAAATAGTTTTAAAATAAAACTCATAATAGAATAAAATAGTGTTGTTTTATGAGTTATCCGGGTAGAAAATTATTTCTCTTGGTACAAAATTTGGGCATAGAAATTAAATATTTACTACGAAATCTGCTCATTGTTGCGTTGGGGTCACCGTGGTGATCGGCGTGCTTGCTCAAAAACCAGCAGGTCCCGAATTGGTCGAGAAAATTCATCGGGATATTCTGGCCTGGTTCCCCATTACCAGTTGAGCAGGACGGGGTAACTGGTTCCCAATTACCAGTTGAGCAGGTCCCGAATTGGTCAAGAAAATTCATCTGGATATTCTGGCCTGGTTCCCCATTACCAGTTGAGCAGGACGTGGTGACTGGTTCCCAATTACCAGTTGAGCAGGACGGAGTGTCTGGCAAAAAAGGCGTCTTATCGTTCGGATCGGTCGCAAACGGACACAAAAGATCCCTTGACATTTGCAATTAGATGAAGAGTAGGGGGATGCACCCTTACATGTATCTCAGATCACACTGCAACATTGCGTGTATCACAAACCAAATGTTCATCATCCTAGCAGGGCAATAACTAGCTCAGAGCAACGAGTGGGGCGAGAAGTGTTCTCAGGGGTGCTGTAAAATTGACGGACAATGTATATCTATTGTTTTTATGGTCGACAATTTGTCCCCCCCCCCCTCCTAGTTGGGGGCCTGCATCCTAGGTCAGTGCTTATATGGAGACTTATAACCTCTTCCACAAATTCTTAAACCTAACCCTAACCCATTGGGCTCAACATGGGACAATTTGCCTTTTAATTTCCAATTAATCTTCCCTTAACTCCCCCATAACATGCCCAATTGGTCCAGAATAGGACTTTTAAAATGTCTAATTAATCATTTAGATAACATTTCCGGCCTAAAGAAAGACCTGTAATAGGCAGATTTAGCTCTTGCATAATGTATGTTCAATGAACAATCCTATCAAATTTTAAAATAGTTCACCCAAACCCTCTTCTATATGACCATCTCAAAATTTCATAGACGAGGTGCCAAATATCCAAAAAGTTTGCCATTCGACCACAAAGAGGGAGATAAAGAGAAATGGGGATGAACGTCCACTCGACGCCAACTAGGTCATTATGCAAGAGCTAAATCTGTCTGTTGCTGTTTTTTTTTCTTTCTTACCTTCATTTGTTATATTAAAGGCTCAATACCACTCTTGTAACTGAATAATATGTCCCAATCTTTATTCTGGTCAACAAATTGTACTATTTTACAATATTGCAATTAATTGGTGATACAAATTTCATCTTAACACACCTAATTTAAAAAATTGGAAAAATTCAACTAAATGATTTGAAAAGCCTAACGTAAACCTTTTCAAATGTGACTTGGATTTAAAAATATTTTCAAACCCTCTGGACAAGTAAAATAAGATTTAATGGATAATTTACATAACAGGTAAGACACTAACACATCCAATACTTAGAATAAGGCTATTATTTTTTTTATGGAGCTGTCAAGCCAGCAAGAGTGTTATTGTCCCTTTAAATATGATTAAAGAGAGAGAAAGAAAGAAAAGGGGTTTAACGTCCACTCGACACCAGCTAGGTCATTTCGGAACTAATATATGCAGGTTCAATTTTATTTCAATAATTCGCTTGCTCGTATATAGGGGGTCTTTAGCAGTGGGGGGAAAGCAGATGACCCAGAGAAAACCGAAGAGGTTGGACAAGTATACCCTATTCCTTGTCACGCTGTCTGTCTAAAATTAGCTCAGCTCGAGAACAGACACTAAGCTAGTTGACCGACATTCAAGTATGTTTCGATTATTTTGAGAATATATATTCAGTTTTAATTTAATAAAATTGAAAAGTTTTAATTAGTCTTTTTGTGGATAACAGATGTGAACCGGAGTAAATGAAATGAAATGGGGTTTAACGTCCTACTGTTCTGCTCCTATACTGGGCTATTGAAGACGGGCATACGCCATACAGTGTGCTATGAGGGAAATTTTGACCGGGCAGCGACACTATCGCCTACTTTTATATCAAATTCCAACTGCCAAGGGATCTTTTACGTGCATTCCAATGTTTACACGGGACCTCGGTTTTTCGTCTCATCCGAAGGACTAGACAGCTGTCCTCGTCAGGCCCTGTGAACCGGAGTACGCTCGCATTACCAAACAGTATACTAATTGTTGGATATGGCGGCCATTTAGGGCAGAGATCTATTCTCCAAGTAGAGTACATACTTCTCTGTGTGTGCAGAATTTCTAACGAATAGTAAAAATTAAGATTAATTGAAGATAAGCACTTTATTTATGTGTGTATATTAATCAACACATTGTTTACTCTTGAAGGTTTAGGCTGTACCAACTAAATAACAGGGGTTTTAAAGTTTTCCAGGTGCCACTCCCACTATGCAACATATTAATCCTTACGACATGCGTGGACGGTTCTAAGAAATATATTTAATGTCAATTATAGAAATTTATGGTGTTGTAATCAGGGCTCCACGTAAATAAACCTTCGACAGTTGGAATTTGATGTTTTAGGTAGTGGGGCATAGTCGTAGGAAGCGAGGGGTCCATGATAGAGATCTCACTGTACGGGGATACTGAGAGTAGCAAATGAAATGGGGTTCAGCGTCCTACTGGTCTGCTCCTACTGGGCTAATGAAGACGGACATACGCCATACTGTGTGCTATGAGAAAATTTCTGCCCGGACAGCGGCGCTACGGCCTACTTTTATATCGAATTCCAACTGCAAATGGACCTTTTACGTGCACGCCAATGTGTACACGGGACCTCTGTTTTTCGTGCCATCCGAACGACTAGACAGCTGTCGTTGTTAGGCCCTCCGTCCTGCACCACTGACACGGGGGAACCACGCCGGAAAATCATGATGAACTTTCTCGGCCAACGCAGGGATCAAACACGCGACCTCAAGGTTAGCGACTCAGCGTCTTATTCACTTAGCCACCGTACCCCCCCCCCCCCCCTTCTGAAGATCAAATGATACGATTAGTTTTTAATGAACATTAGTTATTTGTTTTTCTTTTTTTTTACTTTTCATACCGAGTTATCAGTAAATAAACCAAACGATCATCTATCTTGAACAGTCCAATTTATTTCAACAAAAATAAACATTAAGAACAAATAGATATATTTTAAACTTATATATGTATCGATATACAAACATAATAAAGTGTATAGGCCTGTATATTTTGGACTGTTTTTAACACTTTGTGGTTAAGAGTTCCATATGATGGGAGAACGCGAGGAAAACGCACGCTTCGATGTTATTGGGAGTATGCGCAATCTGATTAAAATACAGATCTATATTTCGTTTCGTTTTTTTTATACTTTCGATAGCCTATACTACATGAAGATCTGACCGGCTGATGCGATAGGTTACTTCAGAGTTCATACGAGCGGCTTTTTTGACCCCATGACGTCAGACATTTGATTAACCAATCAGCATTGATGTTACTAGTGGATTACCCACAGTTCCGTGCAAAACAAGCCTAAAGCTCGCCGTAAGAGACCGTTTCATTGGCTAATGCCTCACACTATTCAGAACACGTCAATGATAACAACTCTTGCAGATCCTAGTGTAGTAAAGACAAGTAAAACAAAATTTTGAACTATAAAAACGAAACGAAATAGGATCTGTGTTTTAATCAGATTGGAGTATGGGTTTATGAGATGAACTAAGCCGGCTGGATTTTATTTAAAATTGATTAAAAGTTACATTAAACAAAATGGAGCAATGTCAAAAGGAAAACAGATGTAGAATAAAACAACTCTGGGGGAAATATACATGTATTTCCAAAATTAATGTTTTTACATTTTGGCACTGAACCAGGCTACTGAGTCTACAAATGAACGAAGGGGGAAATAGGGACGTCTTCTTATGGGTGGTTTTCCAGTCATGCAATCAAAATCATCTGTAAAACAAAATAAATATCATATTACAACATAATTATATTCTCAATACGCCTCTCCCCGAAAGGTCACAATATCTGTCATTGAGTCAAGTGGCGTGGTTCGATCCCTCACTAGTTGTAACTGTCAAGGTGTATGGTCGCCTGTTTAACTTTATGTGTTTTCTATATGTCCCGGTTTTTTTCCGACTGCTAAAGACCACTACGCACATGCGAATTATTGAAATAAAATTATACCATATGTTAATTCCGCAATGACCTGGTTTGTGTAGAGTGGATGTTTGTATTCAAAAATTATACATCCTGGCCCCAACAGTATCCCCATGAGAATTGAAAGGTGTCGCGTATGAGGTAGGACATGCTTACTCTTTATCGAGCACCGGGTACCAATTCTCATAGGAGATTTCAAATAGCTCACATACTTTTTTCTTAAAGTGAAATTATTGAAAGGGCTAAAAATAAAATAAAATTGAGTTAAAGGTCCTACTTTTCTTCACCACCCGGGCTATTTTAAGTCGGACATACGCCATGTTGTGTGATCCATAAGGGGAATTTGCCCAGACATCTATCAAGAGTTCTTTTACGTGCACACCAACGTTTATACGGCACCTCGTTTTTTTTTTGTTCATGTACCACAGACAAGAGTAAACCACATAAAGGGGCTAAAATAAAAATCGTAGACTTACATTGATACTTATCTTTGGCCTGTTTACAAAAACGATCATAACCTCCTCGTCTAACCCATCGCAGGAACGCAGGATTCCACCATCGTGGCAGGCTGCTACCTTTCTTTACCATGACAGCAGTACCAGAGACGTCACAATGAACCCTTTCCGGTAGAGTTTCTAAACCGGTTATATTATTTCTAGGAGAAAATAAAACATCGGCCTGAAATATAAACAAAGAAAACCCTTGGTTTTATACGATACACAGTGTGATTTGGGTCAAATGTCAATCATTAATCGAATCAGGTCAGGTAAAATTAAATCCGGTCAGTAAACATCGACCCTAACAAAGTTGTTGATGATATACAAAATCCACTGCAACAATTTTGCAAACATGAGAGTTCCCTTCCTATGAACATGAGGGAAAGGGAAAGGGGTTGGGGCAGGGGACGCAGTATACGAGCGGTCAGGGTACTGGAATCTTCATCTATAGAGCCAGTTTGTGGATGGTATACCCTAAAATCGAAATGTCGACACCTACCCACTTCGCTAAAACACATCAGATTAAAGTTAATTGACATTTTTTAATCAAAAATCAAAAGAGATTTGGTTTTTTTAAGATAAGGGCTAACCTGTCTTGTCTCTAGAAGCTTTCTTGCGTCCGGTAAATTAGCCGCAATGGTAATATTTCCAAACTTTCTACCAATTCTATTTAAACAATTAGCATTAGTCCCTGCTCCTGTCAGATGAGCTAGAAGAAGAAAACAGATTACGTAAAAACGTCATATCCGTATAACGAACATACTAAACGTATGCTGTCTGTCTAAAATTAGCCTCGCTTGAGAACAGACACGAAGTTTGTTGACCGACATTTTAATTCCTACATCGACGATCTTTGTCCACAATATTAAGTTAACTTCGAGAATTTCGAGACGTATTTATTCCGCTTCCATTTTCATATTGAAAGAAACTGAAAATGATTATATAGACGTGTAAAGAAGAAGCACTGATTTTTCAATATGGCGGCCATTCAGGGCAGAGGTCTATTATCAAAGTAGGTAGTTCTGTGTGTGCAGAATAGATTGGACTCTCAACACTTTGACATGTTCCACTTGTAAAGTCCCAGCAGCATTAAACTAATTTTCATTTATCATTTATCGGTGACGCAGTGGTGCATGGCGGATGCCCAGTAAGGAAACGTTTCTGGTTGTTCGGATGGGATAAAACAAAAACAAAAAAAACGAGGTCCCATGCATGCTATTGGCAGCACGTCAAAGGTCTACTGGCAGTTGAAAATTGAAATAACAGTCGGCAGGCGCGTCGTTGTCATGCAAACAACTTTCGCGTAGCACACTCTGCATGCCTCTATTAGCCCTATTGGACGTTAAACCCCATTTCATCGGATTGCTTTTTTGGATCAGTGGTACTATATTTTATATTTTTGATGCACAGCGGTCAGATCTTGATTGTTTCAGATTGAGAATTCTTTCATGTCAGCAAAGCTCATAAGTGATGTGTAGGGTGCTCTTCAAGGGTCAGTTCTGGGCCTATCGCTGTTAATGTTATCTTCCAAATATAATCACAAAGATCCTAGACATGCAAACGTGAGACTTACAGATATAAAAATCCTAACGGTATGCATATGTTGTTAATCAATAAATAAAATGGGTTTTAACGTTCTACTTTTCTGCACCAGACTGATTAGTGATGACGGACATAGGTAAACGTGAAACTTACTGATAGTAAAATTACTAAAGTCAGCTGCCGATGCGTTGAAACCGCTGGGATTTCCAGGTAGTACAGAGAAGGAAGCATCTGTATTTAAAAAGGGCAGAGTAAAGTCGAAACCATTTCGTCTGTCTACAGTTACACCATAACCAGGACAAGCATCAAACCACTCAGCCATCAAACCTGTTTAAATGTTTTTAATAAAACAAATAAGTCGTAATTACTTATTAATTACTCATAATTCACTACTGGTTCATTTCAATCAATATTGATGATGTTGTTATTTTATCGTGAAAAGGTGGAATCCTGATATTTAATATTTAAGACTCAGTGAACATTTTAAAATTAATTCCCGACGTCAGTTTCGCTATGGTGACGATCGCCATTTGTAATGGGAAGACTTGATGAACAAAAACAAAACATATCCAACAATTCAATACGAAAATAATTAAAAATGGCTGATCCACACCCCCCCCCCCCCCCTAAAAAAAACAACAACAAAGGAAATAAACTAGGCTGCGCTAAGCATCCGAACTTTTCAATGTGTGCTGCTCACGTATTTCACCGAACATAATAGTCTCTGTTCTGGATAATAGAGACTACGACCATAACAATGTTTTTATAATTTGAATCTAAATCGTTTATTGCATTCCGAAGAAATATAGCTATGTGCCTTTTTAACCTCCACGTCCCTCTCCTGACATATTTAATAGGTATTTAAACTTTTTCATCTTTGTATTTTTAAAATTCTAAAGGTTATAATATAGTCTGTTTTACCTCGACCAGGATAGTTGATGTTTCTATCAGTAAAGGTACATTCTGTAAACTGGGCTAATGTCATGCTACACTTCTTTCTGGCTTCTGTACAAACTAAAATATTATAAAATGGTAAAATATCCCGCCACTTCTTAGCTTCTCGTAAAGAAACGTTTTCATAGTCGTAATGCGAAAGCCTTATTTTAACACTGTACATGATGGCTGACCTTTAATGTCACGTCTAGTATAATTTTACATGTGATGTCACATCATAGGCGTCGATAACATGTGCGTTGTTTATATCGGACGTAGTAACACAAACTGGTCCGGACAGAATTGGTGCCTTTTACTCATTTTTATGCTTCCGCGTACTATTTCCTGTAACCATTTACATTCACACTAAATAGAAATATTTTTTTCATATCCAGATATACTTCAAACATCTTTTATTTTCTCTTAAAATTTGTTTTAAAATTCAAAATGTCATCCCTATCAGTGATACTGGGCGGACAAGCGAATATTATTTACTGCTGATCAGTTTTGCTTCGTACCGTATAGCTCAACATGTTTCTGGAATCACGCATATTCATTTTACTTCACTCCGGTTTCCTCCTGACCTTTCCATTGGTCCAGGAACCGTTAGCTATTATCCTATTGATATTGGTCAGATCTATTTACCAAGGTCATCTGCATATTTCCACAAGTTCACGAGATGTAAACAGGGTTAGGGCACGTAATTGTTGCCGAAGATTGTGGGTTAGGATAAGGGTAAGACTTAGGGCTAGGTCTTGGGTTAGGTTTAAGAATTTGGGGGAGAGGTTAAGTCTCCACATAAGCACTGAAATAAACTAGAAATAAATATCTTACCAGCATTTACAAAATCAACTGTAAATCCAACTAATTCTCCTTCATTTGATCTGGATAATAGAAACTACTGTATACAATGTCTAGATAGTGAAACATGTAGTAAGATCCAACACAGTTTATATGGAAATACAATCACTGGTTTATAAGTATTAATAGGGCTTCAAATTGTGTTTATTTTGTCTATATCAAATATATGGCTTTGTTGCTCCCTGGTCACTGTTAACCCCCATCAATTAACTATATTTAAGTTTTAATTATTTTTTGATCAATTTAACTATTATCTTGTATTATAACAGCATTTATCTATGGCTTCTTTTTTGTTTTACTATAAATATCACCTTTTAGTTTAACTAAATATATTTGTGCTTGATAACGATAAGAGAATACTTGTCGAAACGTCGTGCTATACTTATAAACCAGTGATTGTATTTCCATATAAACTGTGTTATGTTTTTAATGTGTTCAAACGCTAAATGCCACTCAAGGATTATGTAGTAAGATGTTATTTTTATATATGTAAATAAAGACAATGTATTTAATAGCCGAATAGCATAGTATGGACGTCTACAACAACCATTGGTAATTTCTACTTTTCCCCTCTTCAAAACACGAAAGTCGATAATTAAAATTTAGGAAAAAACGAGGAGCGATATTATCGCGGTGTGTTTATTTCTTAATTTCTTATTATCGAGTCCATTTTGGCTTGTATAGCGTGCTGTCGCCTCACAATTTGTCGTAACTTCTACTTTTCGACTTTTCGGCTTTCGCGTTCCGGAGAGGCGAAAATTAGGAATTACGAATGGTAGTTATAGGCTTCCATAGCCGAGCGACTAACGCGGCAAAATTGTCATAATTCTGTGTTTGGGAGTTCCAATAGTGGCGGGAGACGCGATTGTAACGTCCAATTTTCATCACTGGCTGGGCTACGACATTCAATGTACTATGAGGAAAATATTGCCCTGTCAGGGGTTCTTTTACATGCACGCAAATGTGTTCACGGGATCTCATTTTTTATCCCATCTGAGCGACTAGACAGGCCTTCCGTCCTGTACTACTGACAAGGAGAAACTACAATTGAACCGGGATCGAGCATTGCGCAACCGTGGCCCCCTTATACAAAAGAACAAGCGGTATAACAATGGCTATGTTACTTACAAATAATTAAAAGGCTTTCTACGCCCACTAACAGCAAATAACCAAATTTTATCATCGTCCTGTGGGAGAGAAATGAAATGAAATGAAATGGGGTTTAACGTCCTACTGTTCTGCTCCTAAACTGGGCTAATGAAGACGGGCATACGCCATACAGTGTGCTATGAGGGTAATTTTGCCCGGGCAGCGGCGCTACGGCCTAATCTTATATCGAATTCCAACTGACAAGGGATCTTTTACGTGCACGACAATGTGTACACGGGACCTCGGTTTTTCGTCCCATCCGAACGACTAGACAGCTGTCCTTGTCAGGCCCTCCGTCCTGCATCACTGACAAGGGGAAACCACGCCGGAAGAAAATATACATTGGAAGTTATGTATATTAATCTAATGTGACAGTCGAGATTTTCTGGATGCAGGTTCAAAGTCGCCATTTGCATTTTTAGAATGCTAACGAATGCTCAAATTATCTCTGTAACTAGACGATGAAAAGGGAATGTGTTGAAAGTTTGAGTCATATTACTTCACTCTGAGCCTCGATTGTCATTGCTAGGGGTTACGATAATAAACAAAGTCTCGAGTATCCATTTTTATGGTAATTTGATCAACCGAAAAACGTATTCAAATCTACGTATTATTATTGTAGCCATCCGATGGCACCGAGAGTTGAATATGGTCATGGTAAGTTAATTAATGTCTAATTAATAATTGATATAACATTTAAAGATACATTATGGGAGATAAGATAAAGAGTTGGCAGTTCTCGCTATAATAGTTAAAAACTAGATAGTGTAAAGGTAATTTGCTGAAAATTTCAGTCAAATTGATCAACTATGAGCCGAGAAAGAAGCGGTTGAAATTTTTGCATAGTCTCGGTCATCATTACTAAAATCATTAACATAAACAGCATAGTCTCGATTATCCACTTTTGTTGATTTAATTATCAACGGCCGTTAGCGGCATATAGGAATCTAATCCAGCCAACATCGAAGGCTAGCCTTGACATCGAGAGTTTATTATGGTCTGGATAAGTTAATTAATGTCTAATTGATAATTTAGATAACATTTCAGGCCTAAAGATGACTTGTAATAAGCAGATTTTGCTCTTGCATAATGCATGTTTAAGGCACAAAGAAAGACCTGCATTAGGCAGGTTTAGCTCTTGCATAATTCCCGTTTAACTTACATCAAAGAAAACAAAACAAAAATATCAACGCTAGAGAATTTTCCTTTTGGATTCAATCGGATTAAAAAGAGGCACATCAAAGGAGTTTACGAAGGCCCATTAGTGCCAAAGAAAATCATAATCCGCTTGAACTGTTTAGTATCTCGTTTGAATGAGCCGCCTTCGTTAGCCCAGTCGGGGCAGAACAGTAAGACGTTAAACCCCATTTCATTTCATTGAAAGAGTGATGAGTATCTCATTTTAACGAGTAAGTATCGTACTTTTTAAAATGAATACTGAACCAGTTTCTACTCTCAATATATATATCATGGTTTTCAAGGGATTCAAAACCCCTCAGATAAGAACCGGTGACGTTAATAAATTTGTTTAGAGAGAGCGGTACACTATAGTTCCCTAATCCAAATTCAAACATTTACTGAATAAAAATATGTCCGTCATTTTCCAGATTAATATTTCAATGATGCATAAAGCGAGATTATAAGAATGATCATGATGGAGTCGATGATGCGATGATGATGATTAACGCTTCGCCAAGTAGCATTAGTGATAACGATTTCAGGACTGATCAAGTACGCCTTATTATATTTATTTAACAAAAGAGGACTACCCTTTTCTCACTAATTGACAAATCTATATATCGCGAAATACATTCATCAAATTGGACGAAAAATGTCTATTTCACTATTAGGTTCCTAATTAGGATACCACTATAATTGAGGGCCGCAGTGGCTCAGTGCGTAAGACACCGGTTCAGTAACAAGGAGGTCCGGGGTCCGATACCGATATTGGCCGAGAAAAGTTCTCGGGATTTTCCCTTTGTCAGTATGGTTATGGATGGAGAGCCTGGCAAGGATAGCGTCTAGTCGTTCGGGTGGGACGAAACACCGAGGTCCCGTGTACAGATTGCCGTCAATACAGTACCCAACACACCTTAATGCAGTACCCATCAGACCTAATGAGAAGTCGTCAATGCAGTGTCTAGCGGACCTAATAACCAGTAAGTAGCCTACCCAACGGCGCTAATGACAGGCCGTCAGTACAGTACCCAGCGGGCCTGATAAACAGCCGCAATTCAGTGCCCAGTGGGCCTAAATCCAGTAGCCAACTGGCCAAATAACCGACCGCGAATAAAGTGATCAGCGGACCTAATAAAAAGCCGTCAGTACAGGCCAAATAACCAGCCGTCAATCCAGTACCCAATGGGCCTAAATGCAGTACCCAACAGACCAAATAACCAGCCGCCAGTACACAGTACCTAGTGGGACTAATAACCAACAGTCAATACGGTACACATCCGACCTAGTGACAGGCCGTCAATACAGTATCCAGCGGACATAGGTGCAGTACCAAACAGGCCCAATAACCATCCTCTAATACAGTACCCAGCAGGTCCAATAACTAACCTCTAGTAAGTACCCAGTGGGTACAATAACCAACCACCAATAGGTACCTAGTGGGCATAATAACCATCAATATAGTACTCAATGCACCTATACACAGTACCAAACGCGCAAACATGCAGTACCCAAGTGGACAAAAAAGCAGTAAATATAGGAACCAACTAGGTAAATAAAGAGCACACGTTTCACTCGTGTGGACGATGCTGGGCTAAACAGGGCACAAAGTTAAATCAAAAATTCTTACATCTCCATAAGGCACTGGTCTTCCTCGTCGAAACGGTTTGTGTTTTCTTGGGTACTTCGGTTGCGATTGAACACTAAGAGTGCACAGTACCAAAACAAATGCCAGCAGACCCCACATCTAAAATTTAAAAATAAAAATGAATTAAGATGAAATGGGGTTTAACAGCCTACTTTTTTCTACATTAAATGGGATAACGAAGAAGGGTATCCGTGCTTTGAGGGAAATTTGTAACTGTCTTGGGGCGTATCCACTACGTCAAATTCAAACAGCCAAGGACTCCTTAACGTGCACGGCCAACACCAAACACTGGGAGGGAACTCCCGATGGTCTTGGTTAGTCAGCTAGCACCTTACTCACTGAGCCACCGTGGCTCCCAAAATAAACAAAAACAAAGAAATGTATTCATATCGAATCGCGTCCAGTAAGTTACATTTAAAAAAAAAATAGGCCACAATTTTAACATATACTCTTCAAAAAAAGTAAGGGATATTGAAATGCAAATACCTATGCAGGTTGCGATATGATAAATAGCCATGGACATTTGACATGTTTTGAGAGTATGTTCACAGATGAAGAACTAATCGCCACAAGAGAACCACTGAGCTGCACATGCGACACGCAATAGCGACATACACGTGGGAGGGGTTCATTGTCAAATTTGACACTTCCAGGAAGGATTGATGAAAACTGCCGCGTACTGGTTTATCTATCCATGTTTGCTTTCCTATTGGTTCTTGCATAGGATTTACTGTTTAACGTATCTTTGCTTTAGTGTGTTACGTTTAATTTGATCGGGAGACGTGTTCGTCGACGACAACGTCAACCGATAATACTGCAAGAATTGACCGTGGCACTGCAAGAGGAGTGGGTCAAATTGCCGAAAATCGTGATAGAACGGTTGATTAGGAGCATGCCACAACGAATTGCTGAATGTCTGGGGATTGGTGGAGCAATTACTCCTTATTAAGACAAAAATCAAAAACGTCCATTTTCACTTTTGACGGTGTATCTCTGCGAGTGAAATGAGGCCGTCAGATAAGCATGTGTAAGCAATTGGCCTGTTATTAACATACACTGGTTACCTCTAATAAAAACAGCAGTGCATTTCCGCAGTTTTGTAATGTCTTTAGCAAAAGAACATATAAATCTTTGTCTTACGTCTGGCATTGTTCGAATTAATAATAACATATTGTATGCGAAGTTTGATATTAAAGGTATGTGCATAACCATGTATGAAATTGCATATATCACGTGATGTAATTCTCAATATAACATTTCACATATAAAAATAGTAACCTTAATAACAAAATAATAATACATGCAAATTATTACTAATACGAAATATTAACTCACCTAAAAATAATATCGAGTTCCAAATTAAATATATACGCTGATTAATATAAAGACTGGCACAGTAAGAATACTGACCGTATGTCTTCTGTCGTATATAAAGCAAACCTTATCATCAGTTCAGAAGTTTACTTGGAACTAAATTAAACATGTTAAGGGGATTATAGATAAATTTGCAAAGATTAACCCGTTGAATAAGAGATAGTCGCAAGACCATTTAAACATTCTAAAAGGTTAAGTTAATATATATTTCATGGGTATTATTTAAAAAATTGTGTACCATAAGTGATACACGTATACTATATTATGTAAAATAAAGAGGATCACGTGGCTAAGTCGGTAAGACGCTGGCTCGCTAGTCTGGAGGTCGGGTGTTCGATCCCTGCATTGGCCGAGAAAGTTCATCTAGATTTTCCGCTGTCTAGTCGTTCGGATGGGACGAAAAACCTAGGTCCTGTGTACAAATTTGCGTGCACGTAAAACCCTACTGTTTTGCTCCTAAACTGGGCTAATGAAGACGGGCATACGCCATACAGTGTGCTATGAGGGAAAATTTTGCCCGGACAGCGGCACTACGGCCTACTCTTATATCGAATTCCAACTGTCAAGTGATCTTTTACGTGCACGCCAATGTGTACACCGGACCTCGGTTTTTCGTCTCATCCGAATTACTAAACAGCTGCCCTTGTCAGTCCCTCATCACTGACAAGAGGGAACCACGCCGGAAAATCTGGATGAACTTTCTCGGCCAATGCAGGGATCGAACACCCGACCTCCAGGTCAGCGAGCCAGCATCTTACCCACTTAGCCACTGTAAGATAACGATGGCGATGAGAGATTTGCTGCTGTCATGTTAAATTAAAAAAAAAAAATTTTTGAACAACAAAAATATCTATGCTATATCAATTGCATAAATAAAGAAAATAAACTTTACCTGTGCAAGCATTTTGGTCTCCTTTAGTTTCCTTTTGAGCTTTACTAAGATTGATAAGTTTGGTTTGGTATGGTGGTTTGATAAGGTTGAGTTCGTATGGTTAGGTTAGACTATCAAATGAATAGAGATTTATAGGACGTGGATTGGCGTGTATGACACTGCAAAACTTAAATTGTAAAGTTCAACCTATCTTGAATGACCTTCGAAATTAACAATGTTTTCCCACCCAATAGAAAGCCCTGCGGACATGGAACGTCTACTGACATTACACTATAAAAAACACAAATTGTTAAATATTATAACTGCTATAATGGGGTAATATATGTGTAATTGTTCATTGATAAAAGCGGGCCCCAAATAGCCAAGTTCGTGGAGTAAGTTGCAGGCTAAACTCCAATTAATTTAACCAGTGTTAAGAGAGCGAAATATTTACTGAACACAAATTATATTATTTAGGTACAAATATATGGTTCAATTTTATTTCAATGATTCGCTGACGAGAGGAAACCGTGCCGGAAAATCCCGTATCTCCTGATTAGCTAGCCACCGTCTTACTTACTGAGCCACCGCGACCCCCCCCCCCCCTCCAATCAAAATTACAATTTTTATTTGGAAACTTCACACAATTAATAATGTCGATTGTTTATCGGCTATATAATTAACGTGGGAGTTTAAATTCTGTTTTTACACTAATGTTTCTTTAGTGTATGAGGCCGCTTCCAGTGAGTGTTACATTCATTGATGTAGCAGACAACATGTGTAACTCGTGACGGTTATATAAAATCTGAAAATCATGTGACTCTCATTAACATCTCTCTAGTGATAAATTACCCCTGTTTCCATAAAGTTAAATCTTTATATACGTATTTCCCACTCTGCTGTCATAACTTTTTTTTTAAATCCAAATTCTTAACTTAGATGTTTTTATATTTCCATTTTGGTTCAGTAATTCTTATTTTTGCCTTTGACTATTTACATGTATTTTTATTCTTATGTATGTGTTGTATCTTCTTTAAGTTTGTAAAGATCATCTGGGCACTTAAGTGAAAGATGTGCTATTTAAATACAGCATAATAATAATAATAATAATAATAGCTTATTTTCTAATGAAAAATTATAATTGGCGACAATAAAGTAGGTATCAAGAGACATTTATATGAAATTAGACTTATTCTTTAGTACATAGGGCGGTTGGGTAGCAGAATGGTTTAACGGTTTCCCCCAACTGTTAAAGACAAGCCCCCCCCCCCTCTCTCTCTCTCTCTCTCTCTCTCTCATATAAACACAAAGTAAATAATATAGCATTACATAAAGGGTCGTCATGTCCTTGAGTTTTATAACTCAGGTCTTGGTTTAAAGCGAGGGTCTCGTCCCAGATGTAATAATTTGAAAATATTTTATAAATTTAGAAAAATATGGAAATATCTATTCCAAAATAAATCCAAAATCCAAAACGGATTTTAATGTGTCGTAAGAATTACGGCAATTCTTACGAGGCAGTTTACTGCCGGACCAGGCTCCCCTTAATCATGTTAAATTTCACCCATCATAGCACACTGCTTATATCAAATTCTATCTGTCAATGATTCGTTTACGTCCCATCCGAACGACTGGACACTGTAGGTACAAGAGCTTCAGCCCTGTAGCACTGACAATGGAAAACAACCCCGCGGAAAATAGGACTTTCATAACCCCGTTTCATTTCAAAATGTGCCTGGTCGAATATCCACCATTGATATTTCAAATTTATATAATAGTTCATAGAGAGGTTATAAAATTGACCCCGGTCAATGTTAACAGTATATGTGTGTGTACATAGCGTATAGTAACGGTGGCCTATTGTTGTCATTTGTTGATTTATACCCTTTTCTAGTAATTTACCTGGGGGATCACGGTGGTTAAGTGGGTAAGAGGCTGGCTCGCTAGCCTGGAGGTCGGGTGTTCGATCCCTGCATTGGCCGAGAAAGTTCATCCAGATTTACCGACGTGGTTCCCCCTTGTCAGTGATGCAGGACGGAGGGCCTGACAAGGACAGTTGTCTAGTCGTTCGGATGGGATGAAAAACCGAGGTCCCGTGTACACACTGGCGTGCACGTAAAAGATCCCTTGACAGTTGGAATTCGATCGTAGTGCCGCTGTCCGGGCAAAATTTCCCTCATAGCACACTGTATGGCGTATGCCCGTCTTCATTAGCCCAGTTCGTACAGAAGGGCGTTAAACCCCATTTCATTTCAGTAATTTACCTCATATGAGAAAGATTCACTCTGCATGCAATACAATGAACCCTTTCTTTGCGGTGGAAAGGTTTTTCATACTTTTTGGATTTATCACAGTTTTCATTGCGAAACACTAGTTCATTATATTGCAGAGTGAGTTTTTCTCACATGAGGTAAATTACTAGAAAAAGGTATAAATTAAACATACATTATGCAAGAGCTAAATCTGCCTATTGCGGGTCTTTCTTTAGGCCTGAAATGTTTCCTAGATAATTAATTAGACATTAATTAACTTATCAAGGCCATAATCAATTATCGATGACATCGAATTTCTCCGATATTAAATAGATTACAACAGCTCAGCCATATTTTAATTGAAGCTAAAAATGGAGGAGCGAAACGTAGCTTCGAACAACCAGTACGGTGGTTGAAATTATTGCACACTTCTTGTCAAACGTTCAAAGCCAAGGCTAATATCTTAGCTCGCAATAGAGTAATTTGAGTGAAATTTTCAAATTATTCATTTTACATTATCTACTTTTGAGCTATTGTACCAAGAATGGCTAGCTCTTTATCTAAATCTTACATAATGTATATTTAAAGAATGGCATCAATAGACCACCATATAAAGCGGTCTAACTGTTTGTTCAGTAATTTTGTATCTGAACTGTATCTTACCCCGATTACTTCACGGCCCTTGTACTGGTGCGTCAAAGCGACGTTGATATGCAAACAAGAAATTTGGGTTGTCTATGATATAGATTACCACAATGCTGTCCACTCTTATTTGAATCGTGGGGTTGGATGACCGAATGGTTAGTGCGTGCGCGTTGTATCATAAGGTCTGTCATAGAGTCAACTGGCGTAGTTTCGATTCCCCGGTTGTAGTGTCGCCTGTCCAACCTCGTGGGTTTTCTCCGCGGTCCTCCGGTTTCTTCCCACCGCTAAAGACCCCTACGGTACGCGAATTATTGAAATAAAATTAAACCATATGTTAGTCCCGAAATGACCTAGTTTGTGTTAAGTGGACGTTACCCCCCCCCCTCTCTCTCTCTCTCTCTCTCTTATTTGAATCACAACTGTCAAGGGTTCTTTTAAGTGAACGCATGTCCACGAGACCTCGGTTTTCCATCCCATCCGAATTACACTGTTCCTAGCCATGCCTTCGCCGCGCATGACTGAGAAGGGGAAATGGTCTCGGCCAACTCCAACACCGGGATGGAATGCGGGATCTGTCGTGGCCCCCAACTCATTTTCAGTTGGCGCTGTTTTCATAAGAGTAGGCCGTAGCGCCATTGTCCGGGCAAAATTTCACTAATACGCACATTGTATGTACGTCTTCATTAGCCCTGTCAGTGCAGAGAAGTGGGGGGTTAACCCCCGTTTCATTTCTGTCTGTAATACTCTCTCTAAATCAAAACCGTAAGAAGAATTAGTAGTTATGCTTTGATACTTGGTACATGATATTTTAAACTTGGGTCATTTTAAGGCTTTGATGTCTGTTAGCCTTTTTTGAGAGTCACGTTGCCCGGTCTTTGAAGAAGTTACGGCTGCTTTTCACCAATGTAAATATTGCAAAGATGAAAGAACTTAAATTATCGCAATTGAAACTAGAATTTCTTAACATTCTGAAAGATACAAGATAACAACAAGCAGTTGCCTAGCTAAGTATGAATTTTTTTTAATAATGCTGTTCTTTGTTTGATCCATATAGATGTTTATTGTTTGTTTATCTTTGTAACTTTAAAGTTTTTGTTTTGATTTGTAACTTTTAAGGTTTTTTTTTGTTTAAATTTGTAACTTTTAGATTTTTGTTTTGATTTGTAACTTTTAGATTTTTGTTTTGATTTGTAACTTTTAGATTTTGTTTTGATTTGTAACTTATAAATTGTTATTTTGATTTGTAACGTTTATATTTTTGTTCCGATTTGTTTACTTTTTGAATTATAAAGATTATATCTTGTTACAAAGATGACTTAAAATCCTTTATTAAACAGATTAATTATTATTTATTTGGATTTTGCTCTAAAACTAAGATTTTTGATTTGTGTACTATAGTGGTATTATAGATTTTTTTTGTAAAATATTCCATCTATATCCTAGAATAAATGATTTACTGGTTATTTGAATTTTGGTCTAAAACGTATATTTTGCAAGGAAATGATTAGTAACCTATTTTAGATAAAGAGATACAATAGTTAAAATATAGATTATGAAAACAGAATTTGCACGATAATAAACGAAGTCTGGATTGTCCATTTTTACGTAAATTTATCCATCACAAAATGTATTCAAATTCACTAAATATCACAGACTAACGATGGCATCGATAGTTGATTATAGTCTGGATAAGTTACTTGATGTCTAATTAATAATTTACAGATTGTTACAGATTATGTTAAATCAGGAAAGGAGAAGAAGGATATAGCCCGTCATGATAAACAATTTAATGTATCTCACAGTATTGTTTTATTGTTTCATTTTGGATTTCATTTTCTCGGCTGAGGTAAGTTTGAAAAGATTGAGTTTAAAATCCAAAATCTATAACCCAATATACAAAAACCTTCAACCCTTCAACATTGTAAGTCGATTCATTTTTTTTATCCAAAGATCTAAAAATATCTAAAAATGAAATATCAAGATATAAAATATGGAAATTAACGAATAGGTTTATTATGAATAAAGTTGCAGTGAACAACCTGATTTTTTTTCCTTTACGACAAGGACAAGACCTGGGTGTTTGCTTTTAGTGGAAACAGAAAACCTTTGAATTTTGAGTAAGTTTGTTAATTTTTACTGAGAGCGTTAAGGTTAAATAAGGATAATAAAAGTTTAGAAAGTAAGGATACATATTCTCTCTAATCTTATATCTGAATATTGAAAGGTGTCAAGGTCCTGTGTACACATATATAGTCACTAACCAGGTATAAGCCGGAAAAGTTCTTCGGTATTTTACAGCCCGATATCACCTTGTCAGTGATGCAGAACGGGATGGGAGATGGGGGAGGGGTCGGGTGAAGCGTCTAGACCAAAAAAAACCCAAAAACCCAAGTTCCATCCAAGCACTTGTAGGCGTGCATGTAAAAGAACCATTGGAAGTGACAAGAGTTCCCTCATCTCACACTGTATGGGGTAATACGTTGGCGTTGAAAAGTTGGACGCTAAACCCCATTTCATTTCTGAATATCAAATCTGTAATAACATTGCCAGAGACGATCCAGTTCAGTTAAATACCAAAATAACCCTAATTGATATGAATGTTATAATGTATGTTTTAAAAACATTTTATCACAGGGATGAAAGAGTCGGCGTTTTAACCGGGTTTGAAGTAGATGTGGTGAGAAAAGGTATTTGACACTTCTTTATTTCCTAGGAGCGGTACGCAATGATCATTGTCAAAAAAATTGTCAAAAACACTGGCGATATAATCGATGTTTTACAGATTTATATTTCAACTAGAAGAATGCCGGGCTTCGCTCGGGGGGTCATAACCCCGAAACCGGAAGTGGTAGACTAACGCCACCTGGCCTATGTTACTCCCCGGCCCGAGCTACCCCTATACCCCAAATTTCAGACTCGGGGCAGACCTAGTGTAGCTGCCAACCCCGAACAGACAGACAAACAGACAGACAAACGACAGTCACAAATATTAGTATAGATAATTCGCTTGAGTGTTAGGGTCTTAAGCAGTGGGAGGAAAGCGAAGGGCCCTGAGAAAACCCACTAGGCGACCCCACTCCTTGTGTGTTGAAACCACGTTACTCGACCTTATGACCTACAGTAAATCGTGGAGTTCCACAAGGCTCAATACTGGGGCCAAACATATTTTCATGTATAACGTGTGTAAGACAATTTAACAAAGCGCTTTATTACACACAGGATTTGTATTGCTAGCTTTAATAGGTTGTGCTTGATTTCTATGATGTTATTATATCTCTGTATTATTTTAGTTTGTCAAACAGCAAACAAGACGTGCGCGACGACAGTTTCGCCTTATACGGAATGTGTTCGTACCATAGACAATCATTTCTACCCTGGACGAGGTATGTTGTATTGAAAATTTTTAGCAGTTTTCATGAGGTAAACCATTTTAAACTTTATCAAGATTCGTTCACGTATAGTTACACTGACAGGAGCAAGTTTAGATGTCTGTTTATTGGCTAGATGAAAGGTCAAGTGAGGTCAGTTAAACATAAAATTCTAAAAGATGTTGTGAGACCTTGGTCTATTTTTAATTAGGCTGCATCAAAGACCTTAGATAGTATAGGATATTTAGGATGGGACGAAAAGCCGAATTTGAAATATCTGTAGGCCGTAATGTCGACTGTCCGGGCAAAATTTCCCTCATAGCACACTATTCCTATGCCGACTTCATTGGCCCGACTGGTGCAGAAAAGTAGAACGTTAAACGACATTTCATCTCATGTCATATCAAAACGTAATTATGTATACAAGGACAGCTGTCTAGTCCTTCGGATGAGACGAAAAACCGAGGTCCCGTGTACACATTGGAATGCACGTAAAAGATCCCTTGGCAGTTGGAATTCGATATAAGAGTAGGCGATAGTGCCGCTGCCCGGGCAAAATTTCCCTCATAGCACACTGTATGGCGTATGCCCGTCTTCATTAGCCCAGTTTAGGAGCCGAACAGTAGAACGTTAAACGACATTTCATTTCATTTCATTTCATGTAATTATGTATATTCCTCCTTTATTTCAGGAATAATGTCTGGTTGGTTTGATGCGTGTCCAGGTTATACTATAACACAAGACAGAATAAATTCCATGGATTTCACCCTTCCCTATTATAAAACATATGCTAAGTTTGCTGTAGCACCGGGCAATCCCACCAACTTTACACTGGGAAAGTTGGCTTCGTCTACACTGAGTAGGTTACATGTATATCTTTAAATAATAAAATCTGAATAATGGAAATTTAAATATTCAAGATGGCCACCATGGGACATTTTCTGGTTATTTGGTTGGATAACATTCGTGACCATTTCTCCGGGACGTCGGTTTGAACGTGGTTTCTACAAGAATTCGACCCACTGAATCAACTTGGGCATCAATTTCAAAAGTAACGACTATTTCCGCTAGAGGGCGTGAAAATCATAAAGCCCCTTATATAGGTGTGTAATATATTGAAAAATAGGTTTTAGGGGTGACTTAATTCATATATAACGAAAAGGTATTCCAATATGACCGCTATATTCAAAATGGCGGCCACATTAGGCGCAAAATTTAAATCTATTTTTATTTCAGCTCATCTATCTGGATCGTATACTAATGAACAGTGTTTGGGTCGACTGGGTTATATAGTTGGCAATGTTACTATATCTTATAGTTTACAACAAGCTAAAGAATCCATATTAACAGGAGAGGTAGGGGTTTGTAAATAATAACTCTTTGTTCTTTAATGATTTCAAATGAAAATAAGCAATTAAGTTAGGTTGTCAGGCAACGAAACATACGCCCATAACAGCTAAGTCGCCTGGGCAGTCAACAATGGTTGTCGCATATTTTTTCTTTTGTCAGTAAGGAGAACGTTTAGAACACATGAAAATCTAATTACAAGTAATGACCCATTAAGTAATTATCAGAAATCATTATAATTCGTTTCGATTGTTTGTCTCACGACCTTGAACAATTTATATTAACTTTAGCCTCTGGAGCATCTACAAGCAATTCTGGATGCCGGACCGACGGCCATTTCAATGTGGGCGTATAAAAATTTATAATATTTTTTACAATGGTTTGGCCCTCGATTACTTTTCTGGGTGTTGTGGTCGTGTGGTCTATCCTGTGCGTTATAGATCATAAGGTTCGTCATTGAGTCATATGACTCTCACTGCTAAAGACCCCTACGCGCACGGGAATTATGGAAATAGAATTGAACCATGTTAGTCCCGAAATGACCTAGGTTGTGTCGAGTGGACGTTACCCCCCCCCCACACACACACACACCCTCTCTTTCTTTCCCTCGTGTGTGTGTTTCATCAGAATAGTATGGCTAGAAATGAAAGAATTAAAATGAAATGAAATGGGGTTTAACGTCCTACTGTTCTGCTCCGACGAAAGAATTAAAGCGCGGACACAATTGTAATTGTACGTGATATATTTTACAGAGCGATGTGCTCTTTTCACCCAGAGGCCGAGTCCCAGGATTGTGGGTGTTAGGGAAAACTCTACACTGTGATCTGGGCGGTGTAGGTGTCATGGTGAAAAAAGGGAGCGAACTCACAAGATGGTGGAATGAGGCCTTCACAACAATTTATGATAATGGTGAATATGAGCAAATATGTGACAAATGGAGAGCTGACTACAGAGGTAATTTACTAAAATATATACAGGTTTTGGGACTGATTAGCTAATTATAGATTAGCAATTCTTTTAGAGAATTTCTGCATAAAATGAACGTGCTCGAGCACAAACTCAATACAGGTTTCCTGTCTGGTTATTTTTGCAGGGTTCAGTCATTTCTGTTCTTTTTAACAAAAAGATAGAAATGTATCATATTGCCAAAGCCCCTTTTTTGATATGGCAGTCTTAGAAACGCTCAGAAATTTCATTTCTTGTCTTTTCAGACTCCATAAAATGTTTAGATCCTCGAAAATCAGACGAATTCCGAGTTGGCGAAAAATGATAGGCATATGAAAGTATGATGGCCAGAAAGGGGAACTAATGTACGTGGTACACACCTGTTAGTGCGTGTATTTCCATGTTAACGAGTCGATAATGCCATATAAATATAATATGATTATAATTTTCGCATGTATATGTTTTGAAAGAGAGTTATTCAGTCACGATTGTATCAAATGTAATATGATAATAATTTTGAAAGATAGTTATTCTGTCACGATTGTATCCAAGTGACTGAAATTGATGTATTTACCGATTGATTAAATGATGTTTTAAATAAATATATAAAATACAGATATATTTCTGGTGGTCTATGGTTTGTTTATATCAAAGAATATTTTATAAAGAGGACGAAAATAATTAGATCAAATTTATATCCAGTTCCATCGATGCACTATAAGATTTTGTGACTGACGTGGACAAAGTTGACGTAATTTAACACTATAAAGTTGACCCAGGGCTTTAATATTCTAAGCTGGAATATAAGGTTTAATTACCTATCTATACTAATATTTGTGACTGTCGTTTGTTTGTTTGTCTGTCTCTTGGCGGCGACACTAGTACTGTCCCGAGGCTGAAATATGGTGTATGTAGCTCGGACTACTGCTTCCTGGATTATACTACTTTCGGTTCCGGGCACAACCCGTGCAGCGCCAGTCAAACTATAACTATAACGTTAAGCCAATCACGCCCACTCAACTTGATAAAAATGTTGAAACGATGTAAGATATGCCTTATTTCCTTCTAAAAGCTATATGTAATTCAAACATCTCATTTATACAGTAAATCGTATACCGTGGCTCAGTCAGTACGGTGTTCCCTCACTAACTCGGTCCTGGGTCCGGTCCCAGTGTTAGGCGAGAAAGTTCTTCCGAATTTTTCAGTATGGTTTCCCGCGTCAATGGTGCTAGCGCAAAAGTACATTTAAAGAAATCAAGCACTGTAATTAATACGAATATAGTTAGATAACAATGTGAAATTGTGTTATCTGTGGACATTCACAATTACTTATGAGATGTAATTAACATTTTAATTACATGTAGTTTTTGTTATCAGCTTAATATGCTGGCTACATGATAATGATATTACAACAGTACTCCAGTGTCCATTGGGCAATCATAACCCGGTCGACCAGAACAATAGGGGGGACCAGGAGGTAAATGAGAGGGACACAGTGACAAGCTTTGCGTCATGGTTTTGAGTTTTTGCGCCCCCTCGCAAATGGCAAAATATCACACGTTTTCAATGCGGTTTTCAGCATTATAATCATAATCATATGCTCAATCAGTGTCACACACATACCGTGGTCAGATATTCTACAAATCGACTCTATAGCATGTTCAATACAGCCCAATGTTATCCAGTGGCACTGGGAGGGACTGCCACCCCACCCCCTCCCCTGCACACATATAAATATTGTTTCTTTGCAAAAATCATGGGTCACCACGCCCACTGATCAGGAGATCCCAGAATTGATCTGCTCAGGGGTTGTATTAAAACACTTGCATCCTGGTTTTGGTATCCAGCCCAGATACCCCCACTCCCCATACCCCCTGTATCAGTTGAACCAGCCCAGCATCTTACTCAGTGAGTCACTGGGGCTGCAATACACACGATAGCTATTTGATTTGACCGCTGACCAGGAAATGTCCAGGAATATGAGCAGAGGAGGGTCCAAGTGGAGATAACGTCAAGTTTGGCGTTAGGCCGGGGTGGGTGGGGGTGGGAACTACCCGCAAAGCTTTGAGAGAGAGAGAGAGAAATGGGGTTTAACATCCCGTCGACGCAAACCAGGCCATTTTGGGACTAACACATGGTTCAATTTTATTTCAATAATTCGCTTGCTCGTAGAGGTCTTTAGCAATGAGAAGAAACTTGAGGACCCGGAGAAAACCCATGAGGTTGGACAGGCGACTCTACTCCATATCATATAGAAGTGGGAAATCAAATTCACGCCACTTGATTCAATGACAGACCTTCTGATTCAATGTGCACGCGTTAACCATTCAGGCACCGAACCCTACCTGTCCGGGCAGACCACCCCTCACAGCCCATTGCATGGCATATGAACAACTCCATGGTTCAAATCCTGGCTAGGACCAATTGTCAGATTCAGCACCTGCATGGTTGGCAAGGAAAGAAGTGTATCTAGTCAACAAACCCTTGACAGTTGGAATTCAAAATAAAAGAAGTCTGTAGCGTCGCTGTCCTGTCAAAATGTTCCTCATAGCACGTCTTCATTAGCCCAGTCGGAGCAGAACAGTAGGCCAATAAACCCCATTTCATTTCGCTATCAACTTACTCCTCTTTTCAATGCCAAACCATCAAAAACTTACAGAAATTATTAAATATTATTTTAATTATCAATTTTACAAATCAAAGATACATGTATAATTAAAATTAAAGCCTTCTTACATGCATTTTACTATTTTGCCATTTTGGTATAAGTTGTGTTCTGTTTTCTTCATGAGCCCAGTCGGAGCAGAACTGTAGGAATTAAATCTCCTTTCATTTCATATTCAGATTTATTTCCAACATTGTCAAGATAATAATGACATGACCTGCGACTGGAAAACATATTCAAACTACTGGGGAAATTATATTTATTGCCAAAGACCATAATGTCCCATGACATAAACTAGGTTACTTCGGGACTAACATTCATTACAATTTCATTTCAATAATTAGCTTGCATGTAGTTGTCTTTAGCAGTGGGAGGAAACCAGAGAACACCCACAAGGTTGGAGATATCTTAACAGTGCCAGGAAACTGGAGTACACCCACAAGGCTGGAGATATCTTAACAGTGCCAGGAAACTGGAGTACACCCACAAGGCTGGAGATATCTTAACAGTGTGAGGAAACCAGAGTACACCCACAAGGCTGGAGATATCTTAGCAACGTGAGGAAACCGCCGCAAGGTTGGAGATAACTTAGCAATGTGAGGAAACCGGAGTACACCCACAAGGTTGGAGATATCTTATGATGTCTTTTCAAACCAAATAAAACAATATTTACTCATGGATTCAAGTAAAAATAATTAGCAAAAATGTTTTATATCAAACAAAGTCACATAGAAGATTCTCTATGTAAATTAATTGGCAAAAGTATTTTATATCAAAAACATCACATAGAAGATTCTATAGGTAAAATAATTGGCAAAAGTATTTTATATCAAAAACATCACATAATTATCTTCTGCATTGCAGATATTTTTTATCTTATGGACTTGTATAGATATATTTCATTTTTTAAAAATCTTGTATAAGATTCCCAATACACTTGCCAGATGATTATGTTTTGACCTAATTGTTTTCACTTCAAATATTTATCTGAAGGAAATAAATTTATATAAACATTTTTTAAGGGTTTTATCCACATAAAAACTATAAATTTAGCTGTATTCATTGTGTTTAAAGGTTATCAATTTCTTTAAAATTCTAATTTCATGGCATGACTGGGAAGTTCTCTAACCAGTCAATTATACTGCCACTCAGTCAAGACTTCTAAATAGGACTGAATCAAGAGTCGTGGCGATGGTGGGGGTGTTTTTTTTAAATGTTCATATTCATATCAATTGATAACTGTTGTTGTATTTATTTTTCATTCTGTTTTGCTTTTGTTATAAAGGGCACAACGTGTCAGAAAGGTTCATACATACAGACCTAGATTGTTCACCCTTTTCGAAATAAAGATATTATTATTATCATTATAAAGATAAGTGACAGATTTTGTTGATATTTAGATGATACTACATGTTTATTGTCTAAGCCATGATCTTTTAAATGAATAGCTGAATATACAAAACACATGATTACAATTCATAATATATACACAAAACGAACATAAATGTATATACACATAATCTATTGTCATAGTAACGGAGTAAACAAAACACAGTTACATCTATGTGAATCAAATAGTTGGTATATATAATCAGATTTTTCTCCTTAAGTAACTACAAATTAGCAGTGGATGGATCTGCTGATTAAAAATGAACTGTATAAATGCAGAGGTTGGAGTGATTAACAATTTGATCCTAATGGACAAACTTCACCAACTTTTAATACAAAAAAGTTGTCAGTACAGACCTGGAAATAATGCTTTTGGTTGTACCTTACAAAATGTTAGGCACGAATCAACTATTAGCTGACTATTTGAACTTTGTGCTGGACCTATATTCATAAAACACTGAAAAACGATAAATCTGTACCCTACACCAAAAGAGTTGTGTCTAACTTTAACTTGTATCAATACCCTGGCTTTCAATATTAACTGAGTTACCTCCCTTATATTGGATTTAACGGTATTACCTTCTTTGAGAGGGAATAAAAAGAGTACATGTATTTTGGAATACACAATGGGGAAAGGTACATGTAGTTATATTATATACCTTTTTGTGCAATATCCTAAAGTTGGGTTGGAGCCACAGCCTATATAACTATGTTTGTGCAATTCATTTTCATAAAAGATTATCATTTTAACTTCTTTTTTTTGTTATGTGTAAATTTTGGATTTGCTTTCTTATACCTAATGCCACATTACATCTACAATAAGATTAACATTGGGCAATAACCTGGGATATAAAATACATATTTGCTTATCAAAAATATTCAAGCCAATAATGGTACAGTACATATTATTAATGTTTAGGAGCAGGCCGAGACAAATCCAATCAGTTTGACTAACAAAAGAACAATAGATGTTTTATTGTTGATTGACAACACAGGACTGTCACTGATTTAAAATCTAATCTACAAAATATTAACACAAATTTTGTGTGAAATCAGACTAATATACAATTATCTATAACAGGACATGTGAAGACAATTGAAGACATGAAACTGTGGTTGAGTTGATTATTCTTGGAATTTTTCAAAAATTTCTCAACCCAAGAGGGACACATTAATGATTACATATATACATGTATATCTCTGTTAAGCTGGGCCCTGTGTCTCGAAATCTAAACTAAAGATAAAATTCAAATTTTAGTAGATACTTCAGTTTTGATTGGCTAAGCACTAAAATCAATCTAATAATACCCAATCAAATTACTAAAATTTGGATTTTATCTTAGTTAAAATTTCGTGAAAAAGGCCCCTGATACCAATGACTTATGAACCTAGAACGTTTAGTAATGAAAATTTTTGTCATTAAATCAAACAATGGACCATTACTTTAAACTGATCTGTAATGTTAGAAATTATATAGTTGTCATTAATTAGTAAAAGATGCCACTTCTAGTACCCAATTCTAATTTTAATACCCAGCACTATTGAATACACAAACCCAACCAATAGTGGTATATATCATTCAATAGTAATAACAACTTTTGCCATAAAACCAGATTATACAACAATGTTTAGTATGTACATGTATAGAAAGTGGTTAGAAATTATACATTTACTAACCCAACCAATAGTGGTATACTGTAAAACATGAAATTATTGCGAGCATGAAATTATTGCGAAAATTGCGAGCGAGGCCCTCTCGCAATAATTCCATGTTCGCAATAATTTCGTGAAAATTCGTTAAAATGTCGGCCATATTGAATTACTCCCCCCTCATTACTCTTCACACAAAAGAGTCCCAATAAGTACATTAGAATCTGTATGAGCAGCCACTCCTATTCAGCGACATCTCCTTGTAAACGGTCACGATAAATTCCCCCCGTAAAAATTCTGTTGTTTCATCTCTTTATTCAATGGTCACTCCTCTAAAGCGGCCAGCGGTCACTATTTTACAAATAAATTTAACAAAAATAGCCCATTCAACGGCCATTGTTGAATGTTACCATCTTGTCGTTCTTTGTAACATCCCTGCTAATCCCGTGAGTAGTAGTTAATTAACTGGACTCCCACTGATCAGGTAAAAAGAAATGTAACCCGGGATTATCTATTAATTAATCTTTTGTTTTATTAAACAACTAACCTGGTCATTGTTTTCACGCGTAACCACACATTTTTTGATACTGATTGAATAAAATAAAAGTACCGAGTTTTGTCACGATCATCTAGTATCTCTTTTCCATTGCCACTTTATTGTTAAACAGACATTTTAGTGCCTCCTATAATATTACATACAGAGTTACACCCCCTGTAAATAGGAGATAAAATTAGCGGTGTTTTTTTGTTCATGTGCTTTTTTGATAAAATAAAATTAATTCATCGATTTTCTTCACAAAAATGGATAAATATTATCAAATGCATCACAATGGTAGACAGAAGTATCGAAGGTTGGTACAAAATGACAAGTTTACACTATTTGCTGTTACTAATGATCACCAATCAACCGATGTTTTGAAGAGCCGACTGTCACCTCAAAATTAACAATCTACCACATTTTATAGACAAATTTACTTAAAAAAAAATTATATAAATTCGCAATAATTTCATGTCACAATAATTTTTTCCCCACTATAGAAATTCGCAATAATTTCATGTCGCAATTATGTTTCACCACCCCAACTCGCAATAATTTCATGTCGCAATAATTTCATGTTTTACAGTATTCAATAGTCACGGTTTAAAGAACTTAGTGACACCTACGTAATGATTTTAACTGACTAATAAACAATATGTATATGAAATGACGACTTTGATCAGTTTGTATCAAATATTTTCATTCATAAAGTTTTTTGTTCGTAAGTCATCGATATCAACTTCAAAGTTGTAACTTTACATATTCCAATACACATGAAGATTCTGGGTATGTTTTGTCTTTTGATTTGCTTTTTTAAAGCTGCTTTGTTACTCTTTACTTTTACTTTATATTCACTTTCCAGGAACCATTTCCACTTTTTCTTGCTGTCTGCTTTCCATTAATTGAACCTAGAAAGACAAAGAGTGAATATTATTAATTCTCGTACCATAAATAAATAGGTCATTTATTTAAATGTATTATGTCGTACAGGTTTGAGCCAAATATATCTATCTACCATAGTGACATACAAATTGCATGTGTGAGAGTGACTGACAGTTACATGTATTCTCTGAGCTCTTAAAGGGAGATAATTTATAACTCCTCCATTTTTGTACCATAAATAAATAGGTCATTTATTACGTCGTACAGGTTTGAGCCAAATATATCAATCTATCTACCATACTGACATACAAATTGCATATGTGAGAGCAACAGACAATTATTCTCTGAGCTCTTAAAGGGAGATAATTTATAACTCCTCCCTTTCATAATAATTTTGCACATTTTTCTATCTTTAGGGGTTCTATTTCAACCCGTGTTACAAAAATTGAGGTTTTTACTCTTAATTTACTTTTTTAAGTCAATGTTATTTCAACAGTGATGCGAATAAATATTTATCACTCTAATAGCTTGTATGTGATAAGGCATCGTGGGCACCTGTCCTACAACCATGGATTTTGTTGGGTCATCCAGTTTAGTCACAAAATTACCTTTTTTGTGTCAGGTGGACGTTAAATGCAATTTTTCTCTATATTTATGAATAACCCACCCTAGATTCATGTATAACCTGTCCTAGATACATGTATAACCCACCCCAAATACATGTATAACCCACCCTAAATACATGTATAACCCACCCTAGGTTATGTATAACCCATCCTAGGTCAGGTATAACCCACCCTAGATACATGCACAAAATGCAACTTACGTTTACCTGACGACTGATTTGAGTTCGAGTCGTCTGAATCTTCAGCAACATCGAGTTCTAAATCTTTCTCGGTGGCGCTTGATGATGATTCATTGTCTTCTTCCTGATTTAAGCCTGTAGCCCCGGCTGGAAGGATTAGCGCGACGTAGCGATGTGGTTTACCAGCGTGCTTTGACACAGAATGATGTTTAATTTTCCACTGAGTGTCACTTTTAAAGCTACAATAACCACAACTCCAATACAGACTTGATGATACTGTGGATCCCGGCTTTGTGGGCGTTTTCTGTAGCGGTGTATTCTTAGCTCTGGGTTTTATAGCAGGGCGATTGTTACTGGACGTTGGGGTCGAAACCGTCTGCACTGTTGCCTGGTGACCCATTATATTTGGAACAATTTGCATGGCTGTGGCTTCGCTTGAATAATTTTGGCTTGGTGAATGTTGTTGTGGAGTTGTGAAGGGCTTAGATCTAATAGCCGTGTTCCTCGGCCTGGTATTGCTATTATTGAAATTCGACGATATTTGAGGCAACTGGGGAAGGTCCTCCATTGGTTCTTCTGTCACGACTCCATGGTCATTACTTTCTTCAATTTCTTCTACTTCCATATCGAAAAACTCATAATCTTCATTATTATGAATTTTATCAGACTGACTGCCATTGCACGAACTGGAATTGCTATCCTCATCGTTTTCGTCCTCAACGCGACGAACTTTGCTTGGATTATCTTCGCTGTCATCTTCGGCTGCTCTCTTTCGCTCTTCCTCTGTAGACTGTGTTTTGACTTGTAAATAATCGGAAAGCAACGTACAATATTTCAACGATGTAGCCATGCCAGAAAATTCCTCGTGTTGCCTCGTCGAATGTCTTATTACGTCAGCCCGCGAAAATGACTGATATTTACAGTATTTACAATTAAAGCGATGATCCATGATATGACTTAGAAGAGCTGGTTTACTCGTCGAAACATATGGACAGAAATTACACCAATAGTAGGTCAAGTCAATATTTGCGGCTATTTTTCCTTCTTGCGAAGAAAACATGGCCTTACATGAAATGGCCGACACTAAATCATGTTTTTGAACGCGGAAGACCTTTTCACTATCCCTGTCTTGCAGTTTTGATTCCATTATTGCCATGTTCAAATGATTTTTGTCCTTTTCTGCAAGAGTGCATCGCCTTGTCGGACTACGCGGTCGTAATAGCCTTCCTGCTACGAGGTCCTGTTCCTTGCCGCGACTTTTGGTTATTCTAGCTTGTGACGACTGAGACACTAGAAATGTGCTGTCACACAAAATACCGGCTTCTGATTTTCTCGAGTCATAATTCATGCGCGACATCCGAGGATTTGGTTTAAAAGCAATTGCATCATTTTGAGCCAGAAGCTGTTCATTTTTTTGCAATAAACTGTCAACAACGTTACGCAGTTTGGGTGCGTTGGAATCCTTTCCCTTTGACATGACGTCTCTGATTTGAGATGTTGATCCCCAAGGTGAAGAGTTTTTTCCTGATCTGCTGTAATTAACTGGAGAATTAGTGGATGCTTGTTCGTATTCGGTATCAATTGGCTCTGGTTTAATCTTTATGGAAGGGTCCATAATACGTATGGACTATAATGTTTTAAGGACTGGATGGATCTGAAAAACACAAATAACAATCTATTAGATTTGTGTAAAAAAAAACAATTAATCAATTAGATTTGATTAAAAAACAATCAATCAATTAGATTGGTTTTAAAAAATACAACAACATTTGCCCACAGCAGCTAAGTGAACGTCAAAATATGTCAACACTTGTGTGTGTGGGACGAAACAGCGAGGTCATTCAAGTCATGGCAGTTGGAATTCGAAAATAAGTTAGGTCGGGGCTGTTGTCCGGGGAAACCTTTCCCTCATAGCACACTTCATGGCTTATGCCCATCTTCATTATGGTGCACAGAAAGTAGGATGCTAAACCCCATTTCATTTCTATCAAGTAGTTACTGAAAACCTTTAAAATTTGATACACATTTCTCGACACTGGGGAGAGAGAATCCCTCCTATAGATTTAAATATTGTGTTTCTGTGCCCACATCTAACTTTTAAGTGCATCCAGAGCAATAACTCTGAAACTAATTGTTCAGAATTGATGAAATTTAGTATTAATTAAGGTTTCTTTTTTTTCATCAGTCAGCCTAACAGCTGACCTAATCAACCAAAATAATGCTGTGTTAGGTTGGTATGTACCGTAAAGCTAAATTACATCTTTGGAGAATGTGCCATCATTGCCCTTTTTTAATTAATTCGAAAAATTTGAGTCTCTCCCACCTCAATATCGGAAGGGAGTCATGGTGGCTCATTGAGTAAGATGCTGGCTCGCTAACCAGGAGGTCTCGGGTTCGCTCCCGGTGTTGGTTGAGAATTTCCTCAGGATTTTAGACCGTGTTTAGTCGTTCGAATGGTACAAGAAGTACACCGTGTACACATTATTGGAATTCAAAATAAGAGTAGGCCATAGCGCTGCTGCCCTTTAAAAATTTCCCTCATAGCACACTGTGTGGTGTATGCCTCTCTTCATTAGCCCAGTCAGTGCAGAAAAATAGGACATTAAACCCCATTTTGTTTCAATTTCGCAATTTGTCATATGCCAACTGACCTGTCAAAACTAGAAACAATGAACCTTAGTGCTGGTTGTAAAATCTTACCAAATATCATAGGTCAAAGGTATTAAATTGTTTCCAAATGTTAGCTCTACCCCATTCACCGTAAACTACTGGCTCAATATTGTTATTACTTCATATAACTCAAATCATGTCCTGAGTCTAAAATATAATATATTAAAGGACAATATTGGTGTCAGTCATTATCACATATATATGTGATAGAACTGGTTAAACACGTTTCAGATATAATTTTAACACATAGATCATTGCTATAAAAGGTGTAAGAGTAGACGAGAAAAATACAAAAGATTGTGCATTATATTGTTTTTATTAAGTAAAAAATGAATAAAAGCATGGGAATGTTCAGACTATTTCTATTTTTCTTGTTTTTCCTTATCTAGTGACATTCGATTACTTTTTTGAATTATTAGATATCCTCACAGCCCCAAATAACAACTATTGGTTTTCGAAGGAATTATTAGTGAGCAGAAATTTGCCTGTGTATCTGTTATCACTCGTCACTTCTGTCAGTTATATAGGATAACTTGTGTTTTCCTTTAGCGTTCTTCACTTTTGTTTTTTTAAATCTTCAAAACGCATCTATCATAGCAATGATCTCTGTGATAAAATTATATTTGAAACGTTTAACCAGTTCCATCACATGTGATAATGACTGACACCAATATTGTCCTTTAATATTTTGGCCATTTACAGCTTAAGCCTACTAATCTCAAATATATATACATTTGAAAACCCCACTTTTTAAATTTGTTGGCTTCCAAAATAGTGTATGTTAATATGGGAATGGTTTACAATTAAATCATGTTACAAAGAAACATGGGATATTATTTAAAAGTGTTTTATATATACACATCGAAACTTAATTTAAATTGTCATAATTTCTAATTTAATAGCCTATACTTTACCAGTACCGGTAGTAGTACATAAATTTAGCAATTAGGCTAATTAATTATATAGTTAGTCAGACAAATATTCTAACATGAACTTATTGCTGGCCACTTTAAGCAGAAATCCTAAAATTCAAAATTGTCAATATTTAAAAAACAAATTTAGGACGACTCCACCAGTCACAGATTGTATCTTTAAATTATATGATATATCACTCAGTACCTAATAATAAGGTCTAAAAATATTATACTATTGGTACGGTATGCTAAAAAAGGAGAAATAAAAGATTCCAAAATTTCAATTACCGACATTTTAATCACAATATCATCATAAACATTGAAGAAAATCTTCCACATTTCTAACATGGACCAAAAAGCCGCGTGCACGACCACTCCAAATAAAATATGGCGGCGGACAATGCGGCTGTAGAAATAAGAGAATAGGAAGTCTCAACGCAACCTACCAGCCATTGCACGCGGACCTGTTGACAGTAGTAATATGCAGTCAGATCCAATTCACTTACATATATGTAAATATATTATTGCTATGAGGTTTTATAGAAAATTTCCTATCCATAAATTAGGCCAAAAGTAAGCCTATGAACTCGCACTCTTACCGCCGCGTGCATGATGACAATCGCTAGTCAGAAGGAAGAGGTCAATAATCACGAGACTGCGACGGGCATCTGCCCTACATTTCAATGCTAATTATAGAATAAAGCCAGATATACATACATGAAAACAGTAATATTTCGTTTCTCCAGTCGTTGTCCTGCATAGAAATACCCTTCTAAAGTAAAATAGCCATTAATTAAGCGAATAAGTTGGCCAGACGAGAACCACAACCCAGTCTAAACCCTGTGCAGCTCACCGTATCACACTGGATTGCTTTCGTCATAGTGACGTCATTATTTGAGACAACTAGCTGTGTAAAGAAATGGGTCAGTGCGGTATAAACGAAGACAGGGCGAGCAAATTGATCTTGGCTCAACACTAGACACGACAAGCTATACCGACGCAGTGTAATCTATTTGAGTGAAATAGCAAGGAAGGCCGAGCTGATAGAGTTAGTAAATATTATAAGGTATAACTATATAGACATGTCTGGATTAAATGCGTGCACTCGGAAACTTTACTTACTATTGTATACATGAATGAAAACGCCCTTCATTTTTTTAATGATCCAAGCCTTCATGTGGGGTCCCACCGCGGAGAACTTTTTTTTGACCTCCCTCGCCCAGCCGTTTTACCAACACCTAATTATATAATGCACTGAATTTAGGGACAGGCCCATGTATGACAATAATTCTACTGGTATTATTTTTTTAGACGGATCAAAATATATAATTATTTAAATATTTTAATATGTTTTTATTTTTAGCTTAAAAAAGAGTAGGCTAAATTTTAGATTATATAATTAGCCCCTCAAAGAAATATTTTTAGATTAATTAAAATTAGGTCTACTAAAAAAAGGGTTTATGTCTACTTTTAAAATTGCAGTTCCTGCACAGATTGTCAATGTTGAGAAATACTTATAGCTGATTTTGTGTTCCACTGTCGACAATTTTTAAAAAAGCCGAAAACGAAAATAAAAATTAGTAAACACACTGACACCGCTTAATATATCGAAACGAAAATATAATCGTAGCCTATAGATTTACACCATCAACAAATCGAAATACTACGCCAGATTTATCAAATATAGCACTTTATTTGGGAGTAAATCAAAGACTGCTATAGCAAAATATAATACTAAAAACTGACCTATTTTGGGGAAATGTAATAGACCTATTAAAAACTGACCTATTTTTTTTTTTACCTTATTCAATGGAAATAAACAATTTGTTGTTAAAAATGGTCGACCTCCCGTGTTTTTGTTTACATTTTTATTTACTTAGTTATACGCTGTACTGATGAAAAAGATCTCGATTTTTGTAACATCCGTAATAAAGAAATAATCATTAATTGTCAATTACTTTCATTAAATACTACCCCAAATAAAAAAAAATTAAAAAGAAAAAAATAGCTAGATGAATAAATTTGAGAATTAAATCTGTCTAAACATGTCTACATAAGTGTACAGGTTGTCGGTAACTTATCTTGGCCGACAGAATCCGAATGATCTTCTTTGAGACCTATATATTTTCCGATAGAACAATAAAGATAATAACTGTTGAATGGCCTGACCTATTTTTATTATCAATAATCATCCGTAAAAACCGCACATATAAGATAAAAGTTTATCAGACATGCCTTGTCTGAAATCTGAAATGTATAGCTATAAATGTAACTTGTATATAGTGACGGATGTCGTGCACGAGGCACGTTTGTCGTTTACTTATAGCATATCCCACTGAAATAAATGTGTACCATATTTTAGTCCCGAGAGAAAAATGGGGTTTAACGTCCACTCGACACATTTCGGGACTAACATATGGTTTAATTTTAGCAATGAGAGGAAACCGGAGGACCCTGAGAAAACCCACGAGATTGGACAGGCGACCCAACTCTTGTCACGAAAAACCGGGCATTCGAAACCACGCCAGTTGACTCAATGACAGGCCGTATGATACAGCACGCACGTGCTAACCATTCGGCCATCCACCCCCACCCCCCGAAAGTTGGTGTTGAGTGTGCAGGGTAGGATTAACCAATAGGTATATAGCAGGACACTTGCCTAAAGGGCCCACGGGGATCCGGGGGTCCACTAAAACTAATATGTCGCACAGTGTGCTATAGCATAAACTTGTTCCAAGATTGGATACTGAAACACGGCAACTTTTCTATAAAGAGAGAGAGAGAATGGGGTTTAACGTCCACTCGACACACTAGGTCATTTAGGGACTAACACATGGTTCAATTTTTATTTCAATAATTCGCTTGCGCGTAGGGGTCTTTAGCAGTGGTAGGAAACCGGAGGACCAGGAGAAAACCCACGAGGTTGGGCAGGCGACCTTACTCCTTGCCACGTACATCCGGGGAATTGAAACCCCGCCAGTTGACTCCATGACAGGCCGTAACCATTCGGCCAACCAAACCCCCCACATTTCTATAAACTTGTGGACCCAGTGATAAGGTTGGCCTAGGGACCACAAGTAGTGTTGATATCTAATTAAAGCGGCACTATGGAAGATTAGATAATAGTTTTTAAAAAAAATAGATAATGTAACGGGAATATGCTGAAAATTTCAGTCAAATTACTTCACTCTGGGTCGAGAAATTCTCATTTCAATAATACTGTAGCCTCGATTGTCAATGTTACCGTAGTTACGATAATAAACACTCTCGATTATCCATTTTTACGGTTAATAATCAACTGCCGTTGAAGCGTAGATCGGATTCAAATCTGTTTAAAATCGGATCCATCAGATGGCATCGAGAATTGATTATGGGAAACATTTGTCTGGGATAACAGCCTTGAAGCGGATGCCAAACCCCTACCCATACTACTACTGGACTGGCTTGTAATTATATCTTGGGGGGAGGGGGGAGGGGCAGGAACTGGTCGCTAACCGCTACTCACCCTGTTGTTCTTCTTCTTTCTTCTTCTTCTTCTTCTTCTTCTAGGGTTGACGCTCTTCGAAAAAGCCCAAGGCTCCGTCAATTCAAGTCCGTTCTACTTTGACAATTCTGCACCGATTTGGTGAATTATATTTTTGAATTTCATCCAACAACATGTTCAGTTCGTGGTCCATAGTACGATCGTACTTGTTAATTTATTTGTCTAAGAGAGAAATCAATAGAAACCGATGTAAACTTAAAACAGACGGCATAATTAGAAGTGATTGATGGTGTATCTTAAATTTTATATTTAAATTTTATTCCGTAATGTCTGTGTTTGAAGAATTTTCGCTGCACTTTTTATGTTTGAAACTATCTATTTATATTTGGTAGCGGACTGTATAATTATATCTTGCCTTGTTTCTTTTTTTTTCAGTTTCAAGTTTCCAAAGAGTTCAAGTTTTAGAACAGAAACCTAACAGAATCCCAGTGGTGGACAAAAAAGAAAAATAATAAAAAAAAAAAAAAAACCCCAAAGAAAAACACCACGAACACTATACTCAAGTTTCAAGTTTCCAAAGAGTTCAAGTTTTAGAACAAAAAAGAAAGAAAAAAAAACCAAAAAAGAAAAAAACCCACCACGAACACTATACTCGGAGACCAACTCGGTTAATTCCATTATTGCCGTAAGCTTAGAACGTTGCTTAAACCGGCGTGCAGATAGGTAAGAACACCACACCATGACACCTATCGTCGTTCATCTCGTCGTCATCACGTCAGCCCTTCTGCTGGGTATTAACGCATTTGATATGAACAAAATTAAAAATGAGATATATAATAAACGATGCATAGCCAATAAAATCATTAATCTCGCCGTCCATGGTGCTGCTCAAAATCAGAGCTACAACCGCCTGGCAAATTTTACGGACAAGTTCGGAAATAGAATCGCTGGTTCGCAAAATCTAGAAAATGCCATCGATTACATGCTAGGAGAATTAACGAAAGATGGATTAGAAAATGTTCACGGTGAAAAGGCGATGGTGCCACATTGGGTGAGAGGCGAGGAATCCGCAGTGATGCTTAAGCCGCGTTATCATCCGCTATCAATGCTTGGTCTTGGAAGCAGTATCGGGACTCCCCCAGAAGGCATAGAAGCTGAGGTGCTCGTAGTGCGGACTTTTGATGAGTTGAAAAGAAAATCAGATCAAGCCAAAGGAAAGATTGTCGTCTATAATCAGAAATGGGTCGATTACGGTACCTCAGTCGCCTACAGACGAAAAGGTGCAACTGCTGCGGCACAAGTTGGGGCTGTTGCTTCACTGATTAGAAGTGTGACGGCTCTGTCAATTAACAGTCCTCACACGGGTTGGCAGGATTACCAAGTTAACGTTACAAAGATCCCAACTGCATGCATTACCGTGGAAGATGCTGAAATGATGTGGAGGATGTCCCAAAGAGGAGACAAAATTGTGGTTCGTTTGAAAATGGACGCTGAAAATTTACCGTCAGTAGAATCAAGAAACACCGTGGCTGAAATCCGAGGTAGTACGTACCCAGATGAAGTGGTACTCGTTAGTGGTCATTTGGATAGCTGGGATGTTGGTCAAGGCGCTATGGATGACGGCGGTGGAGCTTTTATTTCTTGGCAAGCTCTGTCTTTGATTCGACAACTAAACCTGAGACCAAAACGCACCTTAAGAGCAGTTCTTTGGACAGCCGAAGAAGAAGGCACATTTGGAGCTGGAAGTTACTGGCAACAGCACAAAGAAGAAGTCCACAAATTTGATTTTGTTATGGAATCGGACGAAGGAACCTTCACGCCCACGGGTATCGCAATCACCGGAAACAACGCTACAATAGAAATTATTCGTGAGATTAGCAAGTTATTGGAACCAATTAAAGCTACCCAAGTTTTATCCGGACAGAGGGGTGAAGACATTCTCTATTGGACGTCTAAAGGCGTTCCCGGTGGTAGCTTACTTAATCAAAACGATCGATATTCATATTTCCATCATACAAATGGTGATACGATGACAGTACAAAACCCGCATGAAATGGACCTATGTTCGGCTGTCTGGGCTGTGATAGCGTTTATAGTGGCTGACTTAGAGGATATGTTACCAAGATAAAACATGTATATTGATCTGTGATAACCTAATAATATTAATTATGGAAGATTATTTTATATCATATAAATATAACCTATTTTTAGTCTACATGTATCTGGGGGATTGGATGCAGAAAATCTCTAATTTTCCACGGCTTAATCCACGCTAAAGTAAAATGGACTCCAATTGATTATTGAAACGTTTGATTAAGAAAACAAAATCAAAATCTCAATGGTATATAATCCCACGGCTGGGATTAAATCGGATTAAGAAGAGGTCAATCCATGAAGTTAATCTATCACTTTCCACACTGAACTAATACTACCAAGTGTGAACGTTTTCCATAGGGGATGGCTAACGAGGATGCTTGAAGATCCACCTTACACCCAGCTATAGCTACGCTGTAGTAACTTACATTCCGTGTATTTTTTGATAAATAAAATTTTGTATTTAAGAATATTGAAAGTTAATCGATAAGCTTCGGATCATTCTGGCAAACTAATTATTGAAAAAAAGAGACTTTCGATGTTACTTTAGAATAACCCCGGTGACTTGACGTTATACTCGCTACCCCAACCCCCAAATTGCGCGAAATTTAGCCTGTCAAATTAAGATGATATGGGGTTTAACGTCCAACTTTTCTGAAGACGGGTTTACGCCCATAACCGTTTGCTATGCGGGAAACTTCCTAGACAGCTAACTCTTTTTTCGAATTGGATGGTATTTTTGCGGGCATAGGCGCACGAGTCGATTTCCCGGGGGGGGGGGGCTATATCATTGTTGCCCTACCCAATGATCATTCAAAGTCTCGGATTTCGGGTACTTTATTTTGCGGGATTGAATAATTTTCATAATTTTCCTTTTATATCCACCAATGTTTTCGTCATATTTGGTTTACTGTACGCCGATGCACGTGGGATCTTTGATTTTGGTCCCATCGAAACAACTAAACACTGTGCTTGCCAGGCCCTATGTTCTGCACCACTACTAAGGAGCAACCTCGCCGGAAAATCCCATGGAACTCTGTTGGCCAACACCTCCTGGTTAGCAAACCAGCGTCTTACTCACTTAACCATCTTGCCACCAAGGACATGTCAAATCCTTCAATTATTTTCTATGGTCAGTACAGAGTGTACAAACAATCCATAAACAAGGCGGGGCTAATATTTGCGCTGCTAACCCCGTTAGTAATATTATGGGGAATAAACATCTACTGGGAATGAAGTTACCTGTCCCTGAATCGATCCTTTTTTCTCCAAAATAAAGTCTATTGCCATATCAATCCATAAACAAGGCGTGGCTAATATTTAGGCTGCTAACCCCGTTAGTAATATTATGGGGAATAAACATCTACTGGGAATGAAGTTACCTGGCCTTGAATCGTTCCTTATATTCTCCAAAATAAAGTATATTGCAATACCCAATAGACCGGAAAATATGTGGCCCAGAAATGCAACATAAGGAATTTGTAAGATCCCACTCTGCATATTGTATTTTTTTATGCCATGAATGGATCACGTGCTTACTTCAGCTTCAGCTATCAGAAGAAATAAGTCCATGTTTTAATAGTAATCTGCCCTCACGTGAGAAACTACTGCTGATTTTACATAAAAAAAACTTGTAAGATAAAGCCACATAACATTTAACAAATAAAGTCTTTTAATAATAATAACAAGTAAATAACTAATGATTTATCAACCTATAAAAGTTGGTTTGGATTTGAGCGTTGTATCTCGAGGTAGCATATCATCAAGATCGGCAACGGTATACGCTATCACAGCCCAAACAGCTGAACACAAGTTCAATTGGTGGGGATCCTCAACCGTCATCGTATCGCCGTTAGTATGATGGTAATAAAAATAGTCTTGGTTTTCGTTTAGGAGATTTCCACCTGGGACACCAACTTGCATAAAATAGGAAATATCACCACCCGCCCCTCCCAAAATTAATTTAGATGCATTTATTGGTTGGAGTAATTTCAGTACTTCAGCCATTACTTCCCCCGCAGATTTACTTCCACCAAATATAAGACCGTTCGGCGTAAAGGTTCCTTCATCGGACTCCAAAACCAAATCAAATTTACTCGCTTCCGATTTGTGGGCATTGTAATACTCCTGTGATCCAACAAGCCCCTCTTCCTCCGCTGTCCAAAGAACAGCTCGTAAAGTGCGCTTGGGTCTCAAGTTCAATTGTCGAATCAAAGACAGAGCCTGCCAGGAAATAAAAGCCCCACCACCATCATCCATGGCGCCTTGACCAACATCCCAGCTATCCAAATGACCACTAACGAGTACCACTTCATCTGGGTACGTACTGCCTCGAATTTCGGCCACTGTGTTCCTTGATTCTACTGGCGGTAAACTCTGTGCTTCCATTTTCAAACGAACCACAATTTTTTCTCCTCTTTGGGACATCCTCCACATCATTTCGGCATCTTCCACGGTAATGCTCGCTGTTGGGATCTTGGTAACATTAGTTTGATAATCCTGCCAGCCAGTATGGGGACTGTCAATTGACAAAGGAGTAACACTTCGTATCAACGAAGCTAACGCTCCTACCTTTGATGCTTCTGCAGCTCCAAGGGCCCTGTACTGAACAGATACCCCATAACTAACCCATATCTGATTAAAAACCACGATCTTTCCTTTAGCTTGGTCTGCTTTTTTCTTCAGTTCGTCGAAGGTACGTACAACAAGAACCTCTGCTTCTATACCTTCTGGTGGAGTAGCAATACTTCCACCTAAACCAAGGATTGGCAGGGGATGGAATCTCGGTTGTAGCATCACAGCAGATTCATTTCCTCTCACCCAATGTGGCACCATAGCCTTTTCGCCATGAACATTTTCTAATCCATCTTTCATTAGTTCTATTAGCATGTAATCGATGGCATTTTCTAGATTCTGGGAACCGGCGATTCTACTACCAAACTTATCTGTAAAGTCTGCAAGACGATTGTAGCTCTGGTTCTGGGCAGCGCCCTTAAGAGATAGATTTATGATTTGATTGGCAACATCTTTGTAAGTCCGTACCTCTTTTCTGACTCGATTTATATCAAACGGTTTGTTCACACTACGGCCCTGACACTGGATTGCTAGAAAGGCAAATACCACTAAAAAAGTATATACCAAAGTTCCGATTCCGTTGACTTTAATATTTTGGAGAAACATCTTATCCACCAAACGTTAACCTAGTCCAACGTATTCGTTGTCCACAACGAAAAGGCTCATGCAATATCAGCGTATGCAATATTGATATGAAAGATACCACACGGAAGACTTTAGCCTACTACTCCAAATAAACCACACAATACTACTAGATCATTCGACACTGATTGTATATCACAGCTTATTCACGTGACAGCTGACTAAAATTTAATAATCTTTATATTATTATATAAACAAACACAAAACACAGTCTTTAGAACGCGGGTAGTCTCGCGTGTCACGGAACTTGGAAAGAGTATTCAGTGATTTCGGAGAATTACAATTCCCTTGAATACGCCTGGTAGCTTTCTCCAAAAAGCAGAGTAATCGAACTTGCTCAAAAGTAGAGAGGGGGAGAGGAATCCTAATAAGCCGGTTGTAATAATAAAAACTCTATCAATCGAGACTACAAAAGTCGGGATAACTCTAAGGTAATGAAAGAATATTTTGTCCAATGAAAAGCGTTTAAAACGTTAGCCCGAAACGAAAAGATGTCAACCTCCATGTAGAAAACAGTTATGTATAATTAAGGTATATTTTGGGTATTTCTATGAAAATATTTTTTCTAAATAGAACAAGAAATTGTCGGCGATATCACATCGGTGGAAGCGGAAGTTAAATATAGCTATTTCACATACACGCCGACACGGTATTTCTATTTTTGAGGAGTAAAGTGTGGAAATCTGTTTACATAACAGTGAAATGCTGAAGTGAAAGGACTGTCACCAGTCGGGGACGTTTGCTGTAGAACATACAGTCTGCATTCTGCTCGATGGTGCTACAAATTTACTGTACTTAGGGTTAGTTTATGTTGCCAATATAAAGCAAATTCCAGCCTTTGCTATACTTCCCAATACCATGCCAATGATAATTAATAGGCCTATGTAACAGAACAGGCTTACAGGGCTAGGAATTCGTCATTTTTTGCGAGAATCTAAGACTGTAAGAGGATTCTCATATATGCAATCTGCGCGAATCTTTCTAATCTTAATAATAAATACTGACTATTATTGCCAGTATCAGAAAATGCCATAGCCAAATTAAGCAGATACCGCGCCCTGGCATTTCTTTATAACACAATTTGTAGTCCTTTGTCTGTCACGTAACTAGCAAGAGTTTTTATTCATTCGTCGATGATAGACAAACGGCAAAATCACGTGACAACCATAACTGAAATTTCTATAAAATAAAATTCTGTACGACTATGATATAGCCTTCAATAATGTTTTTAGAATTAAGCCCCTGTCAGTATTGTATAAAATAAAAAAATCATTCGGAAACCATGCTGGGGGCTGTCTTCAATGGCCACGTGGCTTATTTTACTAAACCTATTATGAATAATCAGCAAGCTTGTTTTGTTTATTTTACCGAATTATCAAAATCACCGTTAAATGTGTTAATTACTCGGATTATGAACCACATATGTCCGATTCTCACTAAGGTATGATTGTTGTTGTAGCCGACAAGCAAATTGATTGTCTTCTTAATTAACAAGTAAAAATTAACCTGTTGTAAATTAGCCAAAAGTAGATTGATTATTTACAATACCATAATGGCCGATTCATTGTTTTACCAATCGACTTGAATAAACATCAATCGGCTAAAGCCGACAAAATACAGCCCCATGATGAACACTGACCCTGACTGACATTCAATAGTCAGACTCGACAATTCTAAAAGATTTTTTTTTTTGTCGAAAAATTTTACGCGTAAGCTCTTGCGAGAATCTGTGCGTAAATTAGATTCAGAGATTCGCGTGAATTTCTAATCCTGTGAAACAGGCATTGCCTGAGAAAAGCAAAGCTGATGTGATTGTTGTCAAATAAAAGCCTTCATAAATTAAGTTTCTCAAGTGATAAAAATAATATTAAATAATTTTCTTTTTCTGAATTGATTTTGATTTAGATCTAAATTGTATGATTCATTTTGTTTTTAAAAAAAAAAAAAAATGTGGTCGTATATTGTCGTCGGCCCATCGGTCCGACCGTCCGTTGTCAAAAATGTCTTCTGAACACTGTAAAGACTACATTTATCATCTGATTGTTTTGAAATTGATATATGCTGTTTACATTAGTGAGATGAAGAAGCCTATTCAATTTCAATAATTTCCGTTAATTTCTTCTGAAGTTATGGCCCTTGTTTATAAATATACATGTAAGTTTCAGATTGATATGATTCCTAATTAATTGACAAAGTTAAAACAAAGAATAATTCAAGAGGAGCATGATATCCATTTTCCATTTTTTTAAGAAAAAATACATGTATATTTCAGATTGATATGATTCCTAAGTGTTGAAAGCAGTGAGAACTGAGAACATCCATCAAATCAAGATGAGTGTATCCAACTCATCAAATCTAACTGGTGGTCAAATCAACAATACCACAGTAAAACCTGGTTACGTTTGGCAGGATGTAACAGAAGATTTTATGAAGGCGTCCTCAGATTTGGACCTTGGTGAATTACTGCATGATTCTTCGTAAGTTTCTACCTGGTATAATTTTTGTCCCCTACCTTTTTGAAGAAAGCGGGGATCATGCTTCTTATGTCTGTCCATCCTTCATACTTTTATGGACTCAATAATTCTGCTTCTACTGAGGTAGACTGTTCAAACTTTGTGTAATGTTTTTTTAGGTGCTTGCCTTGAATGACTTGATGATGAGCATTGTTTGCTTAAGCTAAGCAGAGATAATTAATTTCACCGGTCGAAAATTTAGAATGTAATAACATGAACCTCCTAAGTGAGGGGCAGTGATGAAACTTCGTGTATACATGTAGTTTCAATTGATCAATACCTTTGACTAACTTCAATTATGGGCATTTTCTAGATGCTTTATAAAAAGACAAAATGTGCAAGAAATTAATCAGTGTTGTGTTGTTATTTTTGCCATTCATCTGTCATGATATTGTAGTTTGCAAGGCATTAACAATCCCTCAAATGCAGTTCAGTGAAATTAAACTATTAATATTGTAGTTTGCAAGGCATTAGCAATCGCCCAAATGTAGTTTAGCGAAGGGGGATTGGATGACCGAATGGTTAGCATGTGCCCACTGTATCATACGATCTTTCATTGAGTCAACTGGTGTGGTTTTGATTCCCTGGTTGTACGTGACAAGGAGAAGGGTCGCCTGTCCAACCTCATGGGTTTTCTCCAGGTCCTCTGGTTTCCTCCCACTGCTAAAGAGTGAAAGACCCCTATGTGCAAGCGAATTATTGAAATAAATTGAACCATGTGTTAGTCCCGAAATGTCCTAGTTTGTGTCGAATGGATGTTAAACCCCATTTCTTTCTCATTTCAGTGAAATTAAACTATTGATATTAGATTATCATTCTGTTTTCTTTTTCTTGATAGGTTTGGTTTATTTGAAGCCATGTCAGCCATTGAAATGATGGATCCAAAAATGGATGCTGGCATGATGTGTAATCAAATTAAACGTAAAGTTTTAACATTTGAACAAGCTGTTGAGGTAGGAACTTATTTTGCAGAGTTAATAGTTAAAGATCTCAATCTAATTTTTTTCAAATTTGATGATTTTGTTCAGAATATTTGGATTGCAAATCATGGAGTTATTCCCCCCTTTATGTTCAAATGTATGAAGTCTTATGAACATAATACATGTACATGAAAAATTAAATGGAAAATTTATGAATTTGCCACTTTCAAAATCACAAAAGCAGTATTCCATTGTTATAATTCTGAATAAAGTACTGATCCTTTTCATACACCCATATTTTAATGTGGTCGAATTTTTTTGTCACCCAGGTCTGTCTGCAGGCCTGTTGTTCATATTTCTTGTCAAGAAACAAGAGGCTACAATAATCAATTTTGTTAGACGATAAGTAGTTAAACGCTTTGTTGCTGTTTCCAGGGGCGGATCCAGTCAGCTATATAAAAAATTTGTAAAACAACACTTTTTATGAGAAAATTGTCACCATATGTGATATCACAATTAATGCTTTGCACCAATGAAACGGAATCACATTGTCATCGTATTAATTCATAATAAAAAATTGACATCAAACAGGATGTTGGATTTCTGTCTTTAAAAAGCTATGTGTATATACGCCAAAATGACGATAGAGACCATGTGTTTCTCAAAAAAATTTTAGGCCGAAATCCCCCCCCCTCCTCTTCCCCAAAGATACATGATTCATTTACCGGGCAAACCCCCTCCTGCAAAAATTCCTGGATTCTTAAACAAACCGCAATTATATTTGATCAAAGACAGTAATCAGTGAAATTATCTCTTCAAATGTGGTTCATTTAATGTGAATACAAAATTAATTTTTACAAGACTAGAGTTAATGATTATTTAATAAATACATTCTATATTTTGTTATATTTCAGGCAGGTCAGTTAAAAGTGAATAACTTCACAGCAGCAGAACTTATTGGTGTTATGGATGCTACTATGGCTTGTTTGGTGAGGATATTACCCAGTTCTCACAACAAAAAACAATTGCAATTAAAAACTACCTGTTCAGTTATGATTTAATACAAATTAAATTTTGTATTCTTGCTTTATTATAGATTTTGCTATTTCAAAATAACATGTATTTTTGTATATCAATGTTTTTGTTGATATCAATGTTTCCTGTGAATTGTCAAGGAAGGGAATAAACACAGAAGTTCAATAAGCAACAGTAGAAATTCTCCCAGTTTGGCTTCAGGTATGGGGTTGGATGGCCGAATGGTTAGCACATGCGTGCTGTATCATAAGGCCTGTCATTGAGTCAACTGGCATGGTTTCGATTCCCCAGTTGTATGTGACAAAGAGTATGGTCGCCTGTCAAACCTTGTGAGTTTTCTCCGGGTCATCCGATTTACCACTGCTAAAGACCCCTACACGCAAGTGAATTACATGTATTAAAATAAAATTGAACCATTTTTTTGTCCCGGAATGACCTAGTTTGTGTCAAGTGGACGTTAAACCCCATTTCTCTCTCTCTCTGTCTCTCTCTCTCTCTTGACTTAGGTGGATGACAATGAGGCCCATCAAAAGATTTCTGCATAACACCTACTGTTTATATTGGCTTTAGATACCAAATGGAATTAAACATTTTTAGGACTTACATTCCTTTTGTATCTTAACTTCCACAGTATTGTACTTTGAAATGGTTTCAAATTCCTTCAAATAACGATCAGAGTCTATAATATTTTCCATTTAATATTTTCAGGTGACATGGCTAGAGGGACATTCTTTAGCTCAAACTGTTTTTACCAATCTGTTTCTCCATAATCCGTATATTATAGAAGATAGAACATTAAAAGCTTTTAGTATTTGTATGTTGAAGATAGTCGATGTTATAAGAGAAAGAGTCAATAGAGCCAGTGTATTTGAAGAGGTAAATAATGTTGTTACGAGGTCGCAGTATGTGAAATGATATGGGGGTTTAGTGTTCATGTTTTCTGTATCAACCGGCCTAGTGAAATCTTTGTCAGGGGGCCTTTAATTGACTGTCATTGGTATACACAGTACCTTGTTTTTCATCCCATTTTAAGGACTAGAAGCTTTCCTATTGAAGGGGAAGCCACAGAGGCTCAGTGAGTAAGACATTGGTTTGCTAACCTGAAGGTTGCGTGTTCAATCCCTGGGTTGACAGAGATTGTTAATCACAATTTTCTGGCATGTTTCCCCTTGTCAGGACAGAGGGTCTGGTAAGAGACAAGGTGTAGTCGTTCGGATGGGACAAAAATCTGAGGCCTGGTCCACACATTGGCACACACGTAAAAGATTCCTTGACTGTTGAAATTCAGTATAAGAGTAGGCAATAGCAACACTGTCCTGACAAAACTTCCCTCCTAGCACACAGTATGGCCTATGCTCATCTTCATTAGCCCAGTCGGAGCGGAACAATAGGACATTAAACCCCATTTCATTTCATTATAAGGACCTCAATACAGCAATATTGATAAGTGGGAAACCAGACTAAAAATCCCTAGGGACTTTCTCATCTAACATCAGGAATGAATGCAGAAGTTCCCCTCGTGTGATCCTGCATCATACTCATTGAGCAACAGTGGCTGTAAGAGGTCTCTGTGTGGCTCCAAGGTGATTGTGGTTATTGTGTATAATAATGGATTTGCAGGTTAAAATGATATTTTGGCAGAGAATAGGGTACCGGTAATACCTGTCCCCATTGAAAATAATATGACAAATAATATATCTTAAAATTCAAATCATTCACAAAAGTATTCTAAAATATTGATTGGGATTAGACAATTTTTGGATAAAAGATTCCTGTTTATTTAACCAACATCATCTCTAAATAATTGTTTCTTTGTAGGAAGATTTTCAACCGATGTCTTACGGTTTTAAAATGGCGTATGATCTGACAGATGTAAGAACAACTGGTATGATGAAAGAAGTAGAAGAAGAATTAAACAAAACTTTAAGAGTGAGTGAGATAATTTTTTTATATGCCCATATTTTCATGGGAATCATATTATGCGTTGGTTATACCTGATAGCCATTTTACACTTGAAGAAAGTTATTATTATGACTGCCAGCAGTTTTATGTTTGATATATATCTATCAGGGTTGTAGTCATTGTAGCTTGTGAAACATAACAATCAGTTATAATGAAGCTAGTGACTTTGAATTGAGATCAGAAATTGTGCATTGCTGGCAGACAGCTATAAAATAGAGTTATTTCCCTTATAATTATCAACCCGATATTAATATTTATTCAAATCCATATCATAAAACAAACTCATCGCATAGTCATAGTAAAGTGCTAGTCACTGTATGAGAGATAAACCTATTGCAATCTTCATAATGCAGTTAGAATATCAACATTTTTAAACGCAATTTATTTGTGGAAGTTACAACCTTACAGTTCTGAAAATTTGCATACAGACCCCCCCCCCCCCCCCAATGTGGTTAGGGATCCTACGCAAACAAAGCTTTTTGGGTCATAAGTGCCACTTAAAACCTTTCAGATTTATGGTATCGATTGTCGGCTAAATAGAGTTATTCCCCCTTACAATAATTAACAACAGATTCTTCTCAATATTTATTCCAAATGTTTCATAATAGCATAGAACTAATAATATTATCCATCGAAAGGGCAATATGAAGTTATATTATATAAACATATTATTAAAACAGTTTTTGTAAATTTCTATTCCTGTTATAAGTCAACAAGAAGTAAACCTGGTGAAGAAAGAGACAGTGCTGTAGAACAAGAGGTAAATAGAATACAGGATTTCATCAACAATATTTTCAACAACATACTTTTCATCATCACTAATTCATGAATTATCAATATATTGTAAAATTTTAAAGATAAATCGCCCCCACTCCCCCAACCATAGGGTTTTGGATGACCGAATAGTTAGCGCGTGCGCGTTGTATCATAAGGTCTGTCGTTGAGTCAACTGGCGTGGTTTCAATTCCCCAGTTGTATGTGACAAGCAGGGCTATCAGTAATTTTTCACAGTTGATTAGCAGCACTGCTAATCAAAAAGTCCAATTTTGCCAAATTTGATTAGCAAAGCTAAAAATTGGTTAGCAATTTTTCAGTTTCAACATAAAACAACCTAAATAACTAGATATTACTTTAATTATGATTAAATTTTATTCTTCCATTTTTTTAGCACTGCCACATGTAGTTGTGACAGTTTGTGAATGTGATGTAAACTTTTGGTTAGGTCTTATGCCTGAAGCCAATTCTTGGCAGTGTCTTCCGATGCCCCACTCATTTTAATTGTTATTTCTTCGTTACTTTAGAAATCTTCGTTAGAAAACAATTCCGTCTGCTTTTTATCGTGTATACTATTTTTGTTCAATCGGGCACACATCGATTAACTAGACAAACGCGCAATAATATTTTACGGGAATTCTTACTTTGATTTATCATTTTACAATACGTTAACATGTATTTATTTTTTTATATTTTATTTACAATACGTGGGGGATACACTGGATTTACTGCTTTCAAAATGCATACTGATATAAGTACTTAAAATTGACATGTCTCGCAACGTGAGTGGTACTACTTGATTCCCTATTTCCGGTTTAATAGTCCCTATTCATAGAGTTATGTCCCTGTATTATATTCATTGATATTGTATTATGAATTGAGTCTGGGTAGTCCGAGAAGAAAATGTCACACGGAGAATTCAGTTTTGTTTATAAAATTTTATTTGACATTTTATACACGTTGAAAGTGTTGAGAAAGCCTCCTAGTCTTCAAACTGTGGATAATCTTTCTGTCAATATCCAAAATGGCAAGCATATTAATGATTCGCAGTTACTACGAATCAAAAACGTTAGATTTTAATTTTTGATTAGCAACGGACAAAGTATGTATCGCAAATTGCGCTGCGATACTGGTTGTCGGCAGCCCTGGTGACAAGGAGTAGGGTCGCCTATCTAACCTTGTGGCTTTTCTCCCGGACCTGCAGTTTCCTCCCACTGCTAAAGACCCCTACGCACAATTGAAATCAAATTGATCCATATCAGTCCCAAAATGACCTACTTTGTGTCGAGTGGACTTTAAGCTCTCTCCCTCTCTCTCTCTGTCTCCGCCATAACAAGATCATGTTCCTCATAGTCAAATAGTAGTCCCAGGACTTGCCCCTGAAATTAGCAAGATGTCCCATTTACATGTAGAAGAGAACTACCTATTTACTGCTCTAGAATTACTAGTTATATAAAGGAGTTTAATATTTGAATATTTCAGCATAATTTAGCACAGGCTGTTTACAGTAGAGTAAAGTTTTATAGGTTGTTTTATTCACTACTAGTCATATATACTAAAGAAAAGGTCAGTCATTTTACTATTCAAATATTCTAAGTCATTAAAGTAAGCAAAAGAAAGTGTGTTTCCATACAATTAAATTATTTTTAATAACAAAGTGAAAATAGTGATATCTTAATTTTCGTGTTGTGTTACGTATTTCAGAAAACCTGTAATGCAATATTATATATAACGATTTTTTTGTAACCCCATAGATGAGTAGAGTTTATAGCATGCCATTGATCTATGTAGCAGTCTCTGATGTTGTTTGTTTTTGTCTAGTTATTTCAGAGTGATTGTATTCCACAAGCCCAGAAGATCTTGTCTCAACTAGAAGAACTTATAACCAGTATTAAAGCTACAATACCTTATGGTATTCAACCAGCTGAAAGAGAGGCTACTAAAAATGGTATGTATAAATATAACGATTGTTTTCCTCATTTACTTTGTTAGTTGGGGAGAGATATTGAAATAGACTTCGCCTTTTAATCCGTCCATGACTACATCTGTCTGTCCTTCAGACCCGATTATGTTTCTGGAGAATATTTCGTAACCGTTCAAAATATCTTATAAAACTTTGTACACACATCAACTTTTTATAGCAGTTGTGACTTTTTGCTTATTAGACATCTAAATACAATCTGTTTCACATTTGTACTATGAAATGCAGATTTTATTATTCAGATTTTCTTAGTTTGTTGCATTGGCTCGAGGGCATGTGCATTGTTTACATAATGTCAACTGGTCTGGGCATAATGATGCCTTTTACACATTTTATATACCCATTTTGGGCCACTGAGGCTAAGTGGGTAAGACGCTGGCTTGCTAGCCTGGAGGTCAGGTGTTCGATCCCTGCATTGGCGGAGAAAGTTCATCACGAATTTCCAACGTGGTTTCCCCTTGTCAGTGATGCAGGATGGAGGGCGTGACAAGGACAGCTGTCTAGTCGATCGGATGGGACGAAAAACCGAGTTCCCGTGTACACATTGGCGTACACGTAAAAGATCCCTTGACAGTTGAAATTCGATATAAGAGTAGTCCGTAGCGCTGCTGTCCGGGCAAAATTTCTCTCATAGCACACTGTATGGCGTATGCCCGTCTTTATAGCCCAGTTCGGAGCAGAATAGTAGGACGTTATACCCCAATAGGAAATATTTTTTGTCCAGATTATACTTCAAACACCTATATTTATTTTTCTAATACTTTGAAAAGTTTTTATAGAATTTAATTTGCAGAAGGAAAAAAAGTTAATATTGCGAGCTAATTGCCCAGGCACCGATGTCACCCTTCTCAGTGATTGTAGCGGCCTAGCAAATATTCCCTGCTGATCCAAATATTTTTGTTGAAACTAAATGTTACAGTTTAATGTAATCCAACTGTATGGGACCTAATTTTCTTAATCATCAATCATCAATTCGAAGCAGTAATGACTTGTAATGAATATTCTGCTTGATTTTATTTCAGATTATCCAACCATTGTAGGTTTTGAACCATTAATAAACCAACGTCTGCTCCCACCAACCTTCCCAAGATACACTGTAATAAAAGACAGATCAGAAGCCATTTTATATGTCGAAGAATTGGTTCATCATTTAAATATAGTAACAACACTTCCTGATATCACCTCGTTACACGCCATACTGGTTAGTTTTATAACACATTAAAGGGAGCATCCCAAATTTAGCAGAGTCTCAGAAATAAAAGTCTGTGTATGTATAAAATTTAAGCACCAAAATATAGAGGAATGGTGAAATTACCTTGTCATGAAATTCCAGCTTAAAATATTGAGTTGTTTCGACGTGAATATTAGGCAACACAAATAAAATAACTTGTTTCTCGGGCACCGCCCGCACGCAAAATTGGTTGCGCGTGCAGTCTATTTATTAGTCTTGATGAAAAAAAATAAATATGTAACGCCCGCCCGCACATCGACAAGCAAGTCGTAAAAAAAATATCCAGCATGTACCTACATCCGCCATACATGTATATCTATTCAAATGTATTAAAACTGATTCAGATGAACATGCTGTCTTTTTTATCCGAACAATGGCGAAGTTTGGCAGATTTGCCTTTTTTATTGATATCGAAAGAACCTCCATTTTGTATCACGTGATATTAATTACCTCCCCTGATAAACTAGAATTTGATTCGTGTTAAAAGTCATTGGCGACAATATTTCAATCATTCGATCGTAATCGGCTCATTATTGCCGGCTTCAGTCGGTCCTTTTGATAAAATAATGAACCGTAGAACAGGTTAATTAATTATAGCTAAGAATACGATACGATGACGATAGTCGTCATAATGCATACCTTAGAATCTGGGTCATTATTAGCACATTTACGGTAGTTTCGATAATCCGGAAAATAATAATTGGATTACTGATTTGATGGTTTTACTGACCAGTTGTTAGTTAGATTTAAATAGTCATTCAATATAAACACCGGATAGAACACCGAATATCCTGAGAAACACACCGAATATCCCAAGAAACAGTATTTCCGGCAATCTCCAATACCGATGACACGGTGTGACATGCATTGGTTGGAATTCGGTAAATAATTATAAATAAACCGGCGATACTAGATTTAGTTTTAAATACTGTTTACCATGATTATTATTTTTGATACACCTGGTGAAAGTGGCTTAGTTTTTAAAAATATTGTTGTCTTTATGGAGGGCTATTACATAGTCGTATGGAATTTTATTTTAAACCAATTTCAATTATGTGAATTAAATATGGAAAATTATTTTCCTTTCAGTCAGTGTTCAGTCTCAGTGTTTTAGTAGACTTGATTTTGGGTTTATGTTTTAAGTATGTACAATAAAGTTGAATATAACGGAAAGCAAAAACGTAAACAAGTAATGACTTTCTCATTTAAAAAAAAAAAAAAAAAAGAAAGACCGCCCTCCCGCCCCAACAATTTTCAGCAATAGCCAAATTTTATTTTGCACCATCAATGAGTAAAAAAAA